GACAGGTCATTATAGACCTCTCCAATTGGCATCTGCTTATTAATGACTGCTCTTTAGGATTGATTATTCAACCAATTCTGAATATACTTTACTGTAGTGAGGTATATTTAGACTATGGCTCTTTGTCTTGTCTCTAAGAATAGCATTAGACTGTCACTTGCTTTTGCTTTGCTTATCTAGGTATGTTGTATTTCTGTTACTTCCATAATCCCTCCTGTTTAGTCACCTTGTCAAAAGTGAAAACTCAGTACAGTAAGGACTTTTAGGAATCACTGATTCCAGTTCTAAATGCTTTCAGTGATTCCTTTAGTAATGGGCTCTGGAATTTTGACAAGCTCACTAGCCTATAATTTAAAGATTACTTTTTTTTTTAAAGGGATAACTCATTCCTTTCTCTATCAGCTCTACTCATTTTTCATAATCTTTCAGAGATCACTAATGGTAGGTCAGCAATCGTGTCTGCCAGGTCTTCAAGTATTCTAGAATATAACTTAGCTTGGCCTTGATTTATCTGGGACATAGGTTATAAATCATAGGTCCAGAGCTAGAAGGCACTTGTAAAAAAAAGTCATCTCGTCCAGCTCTCTTATTTTACAAGTGAAGAAACTTAGGCCTGGAGAGGTTAAATGACTTACCTGAGGTCATGTAGATGGTAAGTGGCAGAACTGAATTGGACTGATCCAAATCCAACTCTTCCATGACTCTGTGCTGTGCTCTCTTATTCTCTCCCTACTAATCTTGGGTTTTCACTCCATATAAGCCAGAGATTATTCTACTTGGCAAAGGAAATAAGCAAAATAAGAGTTGACTTGGCTGCTGTGAATTAGGGTCCATGAACAGTGCAAAGGGTTATCCCGGTCCTTTTTTTGAGCCTCCTCATTGGCCTAGCATACAAAAACCCTCCAAAACAAAACAGCTTTTTGCTCTTGCCATTTTCATCAGCTCATTCTGACATTTAACTCTCCTGACAATTTTTATAGGATCATCCTGTGTTGTATTCTTCCTCTCTCACCTGCTCTGGTGTCCATTTTCTAAAAATATTGAAAAAAAAAATTTTTTTTTCTTAGACAACCTTTCCTTTTCCTTATTGTTAGAATTGTTTCTTTCTTGTGCTTTCAGAATTTCACTTTTCAAGAGAGAATTCCTCTAGGGGTTAATTGTTAGTAATCATAACATCTTAAATTATAATGTATATGCTTAACTGTTTTCATGTTGTATCCTCCCTGTGGAATATAAGCTCTTTGAAGTTAGTTAGTTATTCACTTTCTTTGTTTCCTCAGTGCCTTGCACTTGCATTAAGTAAATGCTTACTTAATTGTCTGTTGCATTGAGTTGTCTTAGTTCATGAGGTCCCACCTGTTCTTTTTTTGAATTTTTGAAACCTCTTCTCCTGAAACCTAGGGTACGTATTGGGACTGTCTTACCTTCCCTCCCTTTAACATAATTGCTCTGAACTGATGTGGTCACTTCCCATTGAAGACGTCTTCAGTCACATCCAAGCATTTCCACTGGCTGTCCCCCATGCTTGGAATTCTTTTCCTCACAAACTATTGCCTAGCTTCTTTCTAGTCCCATTTAAAATTCTACCTTCTACAGGATCCAATGTAATTCTATTGCCTTTCCTATGTTGTTTTCAATTTATCCAGTCCTTAGCGTGTTTGTACATAGTTGTTTGCATGTTGTCTCCCTCACTGCGCCGTGAGCTCTTGGAGAGCAGGGACTGTTCTTTGTATTTCTTTATATTCCCAGTGATTTTGCTTTTCTTCGTGTCCTCAGTGCGTAGCACATAGTATGTGCTTAATAAATGTTTACTGGCTGACTGGCTAACATAATTTCTACTCCAACAACCAGTTCTCTTGGTTGGTGAGAATCAGATTCTGAATAAGCTTCTTTCATTGCTTTCTCTACCTTTTGAAGTGTGGAATTATCATTGAGACATTCTAGGAAATTATTATTTGCTCTGTTTTTGGCTTATATCCAGATATTCGAAGTTCTTCCATCCCCCTTAGATCATGTTTCCTTGTTAAGGTTGTGATTTGTTGCTTGAACTCAAGGCATTTCCTTTTTGTCCTGATGAGCTGTAGTATAATTTTTTGGCGGTGTCACTTCTGTTTTGGTGTTTGTTAGTATAATTTTATGACACTTTAGTTTTGGTATTCGTTGATAATTACTCAAATCTTTTCTACCACTTTCCTCCTTTCTGGTTCCTTTATCTGTGTATCTTTCTTAATATACCATGTTGTGCACTTTCCACCTCTCCCGCTTTTACCTGTCTCATTCTTTTTGAATAAGGTTTACACTTACTAGAGCCATATTTCTGTCACTCAGCTGTAGTAATATAGTAAACAGTCAAATCTGTTTCCTTGTGACCTCTAGTTTATTTTACTTATTGCCTATGCTTGTGTATTTGTATATAGCTACCTGAGGCCACTTGTTTTATTGGGGACTTACCTCTTGGAGTTGGGACATGTATAATGTACTCCTTTATAATTCTAGTACTATTGGGAAAAAGATCTATTATCTATGTTAAATCAAGCTTACTTTTACCATATGTAGTATATTTTAGGACCTGACTAGACCTGATTTGTATATCTAATTCTGTGTAATAAGAAACCTTAGTAAATATTTATAGCAGCACTTGTGGTAGCAAAGAAGTAAGAAAAGTGGGTGCTCATTGATTGGGGAACAGCTGAACAAATCCTGATATATGATTTTTTTTTTTTAAGTTTTTAGGCAATTGGGGTTAAGTGACTTGCCCAGGGTCGCACAGCTAGTAAGTGTCAAGTGTTGGTCTGAGGCCGGATTTGAACTCAGGTCCTCCTGACTTCAAGGCCGGTGCTCTATCCACTGTACCACCTAGCTGCCCCATGATATATGATTTTAATGGAATGTTATTGCACCACAAGAAATCATGAATGTGAATAATTTAAAAAAATTTGGGAAGACTTTGTGAATTGAAGCATACGTAGTGAAGCAAGTGGAACAAGATAGCAATTTACATGACGGACACTATATGATATAAAGTATATATTATTTATATATAATATAAAGTAATATAAAGAAAAGCAATATCAGAAAGATTCAGAATTCTGATCAGTGCACTGACTAGTGAGATCAGTGTCCTGAAGCATCCCTCCTGCCTCATCAGAGAGGTTGTGGAATAGAGCTGTAGAATGGGTTATACATTTCTACACGTGGCCAAGGTGTTGATTTATTTTGCTTAATTAAACTTTATTACAAGGCATGGTTATGTTTTTGTGGAGAAGGTGTCATTGAGAAGTTTAGTGGTATAAGAAGAGAGTATAAAACGCTTTGTCAGAAGGGGTTTCTTCTTTTAGAAAATATCCACATTTTTAAGAAAATGTGTTTGGTATTTTGAGAGAGCATTACAAACCGTTTAATTCTCTCAGTGCTAAACATAAAAAATAACATGGCATTCTCTAGGTTGAAGTAATGGACCCAGTGTGGCCCCTCTACTGCTTGTAACCTCTGGCTACCTTGGAGCTCCCTCCACCTCACTAATCTCCTCAGCCTTTCGGTGAATTTGGCAGAATGAAGGCTGTAAATTTGTTTCATGCATCTCTTTGCTCTCCTGGGTTATTCCCACTTGTGTTCTCAGTCTCAGTCTTTATGTATTTTGTTCATATGATGTTGGGCCTGACCCAGATAAACATCTTTAGTTTAAAAAGGGCCATACACACTTTTTTTGTATTCACTAATAACAGAAACACTTGACTGTTGCTATTATAGAACAATTTTTTAGGTATACAAGTTATGACTATTAAAGAATGAGACTGAGCCTGTGAGCCTGCCACAAAATTCAGACTGCTGACTCTTTGTGTATGTACCTCTTTATTTAAATAGTGTTTTCTTTTTCTATGTACGTCTGTTATGCTCACTCTTCTCTTGCACACCACGGGGAATATGATGACCGTTATTCCTAACTTTTCTTGGAAAAGAAAACTAAGCTGTTGTGTTTATATACAAATGAAGGGAAATTATATTATGTTACTCAGTCACTAGGCCTTCCACAAAGGGATTAGGAGGATTGGGTCAAATTTGTATGTTTGTATTACAAATCTTTCAGTTTTTCTAACTGTAAAGCAAAGTTACTAGCTGGTGAACTCATTTTTATTAAATACTTTCTATAGGAAAGTTACCACATCAAAGGTTATATAGTATAGGGAAGATGTCAGTAAGTAGCTTTCTGTTGTAGAGTGTTACAGTAGTAGACAGCTTGTGTAGGGACCGTGGTAGTAATGGTGGAAAGAAAGAGAACAACTACTATGTTCTATTTGTCTTGCATCTTACTACCTGGCCTTATACCCCTAAACATTGCATTCTCTCTCATAATAAATTAGGCCAGTTCTGTGTGATTAGAAGTGCCTAAGTAACTAGGAGTATTTATACATATGATAATTAGTATACATAGGACATTTAAACAATTGAATGTCATTTAGACAAGAAAATGAAGAAATTAATGTAATGTTTCCTTTCATGATTTGGGTGATGAGTAGGGACACTAAATAAACATTCTTTTATTAAAGAAATTGCTTCCCTCTATCTACCATTAGCTTGTGGCTTCTTGGCACTGGGGGTCCAGTATGAACAGCTATTGTTGTAATGCATAATGATGTACCATAATATATCATCAGTTTCTATGAATTTTGCTATCACAGCTAAAGTTCTGCCTTCTGCAGGAAGACTTTCCCACTACTCCTTTTATTTAGTGCCCTCCCTCTTAATGGTATTTCCAGTTTTTCTTGTACGTATCTTGTTTGCATATACTTTTTTGCATATTGTCTCTTCCCTACTAGACTTTGAACTCTGTGAGAACAGGGCCTTTTTTTTTTTTTTTTTTGCCTTTTTTTTTGTATCCCCAACGCTTAGTACAGTGCCTGGCCCTTTAGTAAGTGCTCAATAAATGCTTTATGTCTTGAGTAATAGTTTTAGTTACATTTCTGGTGTTTCTGGAATAATGTACTTTTTCTTTGGCACAGATGGGGTACTCACTGTTCTTCAGAATTCTGTCATGTCCACTGCAGAAAGTATTTCTGAGTTTCTTGTTAGAAGGCTAACTGCCAATGAATTGAGTACTGTAAGTATTTAACGGAATAACCTGACAGTTGTGTTGTTAAATTGAAATATTATGTAATATTTTTCCCCTTAGATAAATCTACTGAAAAGTCTCTTTACACGTAAGAACTGGAGTGATGCCTGCCATCCAACTCTTTTGCCAAATGATTGTTGGCTCTTTCATGCTCCCCCAGTGACCCATTTGTGTGTGTGTGTGAATGTTTGTAAAAATTAGATGTTTTATCTTTCGATTATGATTCCTTGCTTTTGTTTTAATATGTAATCCATTTGTGAAGGATCACTGAATCTTGATTTTTACTTGTAATTTTTTATTAGAGATATTTTAATATCAATTATACATATCTTTTATTTGTCTTAGGTTTCAGATCTAGAACGTTGTCACTTATACTTAACAATGTTATCTGAACTTGTGAATTTACATGGGAAGGTTGGTTGGAAAAACAGTGACTCCATTTGGAGATTCATTTCCCTTTTAAAAAATGCCTCCATTCTGCATCTGCAAGACATAAGTAGTGAAAAGGTAATTTTTCTAATGTAATTTTTTTGTGAGCCTGTTGTAGCTTACAAGAAGTATTATTAGATCTAATTGCAGTAATTAATCGATTAATCAATGAGCCTTTATTAAGCAACATCTTTGTTTGAGGCATTATGCTAAGAGCTGGGGATATGAAGATAAAAATGAAACAGTCTGCCCTCAAGAAGCTTTCATTCATTTGAGGGAGACATACATAAATAAGCAAAATATATACAAATTGAATACAAAGTAAATTTTCTGTTGTGGAGAAGGGCACTAGCACTTGGGAGGATTAAGGAAGGCTTCATGTAGAAAATGAATTTTCATTTTCAACTGAATTTTGAAATAAATAAAGAATTTTAAGAAGTGGCAGTCCATTCCAGGCATGGAGGACAACTTAATTCAAAAATACAGAAAAGCATGACATAGTGTCATGTGAGAGGAAGAACAGAAAGATCAGTTTGGATGAACTATAAATGCACAAAGGGCAGTAAATGGATAATAAGTTTGGAAAGGTGGGTTGGAGGCAGATTGTGAAGGACTCTAAAGCTAAATGGAAGAGCTTACTTTTTTTTTTTTTTTTGGTTTGTTTGTTTTTTAGGCAATTGGGGTTAAGTGACTTGCTCAGGGTCACACAGCTAGTAAGTGTCAAGTGTTTGGTCTGAGGCCGGATTTGAACTCCGGTCCTCCTGACTTCAGGGCCGGTGCTCTATCCACTGTACCACCTAACTGCCCCGAGAGCTTACTTTTCATCCTAGAGGAAATAGGGAGCCAGTAGGGTTTACTAAGTAGGGTAGTGACCTCATCTAACATGTGCTTTAGGAAAATCACTTTGGTAACTGAGGTGTGGTAAGACTAAAATTACAAATCACTTATGACTGACTAATTTCATTATGCTAGGCATCAGTTTCTCCAGCTGTAGAATAGGAAGATTGGACTATATGATTTTGAAAGTGTTTTTCTTCTCTCCATCTATGATCCTGTCACCCTACTTTATAATAACAGAAGAATGTAGGTGGCCACGTAGTCTTGTGAAAAGGAGCATGACTGAGTTAGAAGGAGAATGAAGACGTGTCATGACACCTCAGTTCAGATCTAGGTAGGCTGAGCTAAGTGACACCATAGATAGAACCTAGGACTTAGAATCAGGGAGTCTTAAGTTCAAATCCTGCCTCAGACCAGCTGTGACCCCGGGAAAGTCACTTAATCTCTGTGTGCAAAATGGGGATAACAACACCTACTTCCCAGTGTTGTTTTGAGGACCAACTGAGATAATAATTGTAAAGCACTTTACAAACCTTAAATTGCTATGTAAATGCTACTTGTTGCTATTATTATCATTATGAGAAACAGTACTTCATTGTGCCTATTTCTTATATAGCAGATGAGGACAGTACTTTTAGCCTGACTGCCCGGGGTTATAGGAAGGATGAAATGACAGCAGATGGGAAAGTCCTGTGAACAATTCCACGACTCTGTAATGGAAGACAATGTTGTTATTTAAAGTTGGCTCACTTGTCCAGAATTCTCACTCAGGAATAGTGGCACCAAGACCTTGTGTGTGTGTTGTGCTTCAAGCATCCTCCATGTAATCTCAGTAACTCGTTTGGATCCATCATCCCTGGACCTCTCTAGGCCAGTAAGATCAAAGAATCATAGAAAGAGATCAAGAAAGGACCTTGCATATCACCTTGTCCAAACCCTCTCATTTTATAGATGATGAAACAGGCTCAGAGAAGTCCTTAGGTGACTTAGGGTCACACAGGTAATAAGTGGCAAAACTGGAAATTGAACCTGGGTCTTGTGTCTCCAAATGCAGCACTGTTTCTAGTGTTTCACGTTGTATTTTGATGACAAGGGAAAAAAATTAACTTAAATAATTATATTGTTCCATAAAAATTATATTTTGTTTATATCTAATAGGTATAAATATTTTAAAAAGTTCCTGTAGTTATGTAATAAAATAACAACTACTACATGAAAATTGTTACAATTTTATAAAGGTAGGGATGTTCTCTTTGCAAAATTTAATGATACAATTTCTTGTAGTATATATAGATGTATCGTTTAGCTTTTTGTTCTTACTGAACAAAGTGGCTAGCATAAATAAAGCTGTCTACAGTGATGAAAGCTCTTTACGTAACTTTCATGAATAATTTTCTAATCTGTTACTAAGAATATGAGTTAATCTAACTTTATATTTTTTCATTTTGGGTCCTAGAGAAGTAGCCCAGTTACCCAGGTAGTAAAGCTGGGATTTGAACCTGGATTCTGTTGATGCCAGATTGAGTGCTCCTTCTAGTACACTACAGGCACCATTAAAATATTTAATTTTTAAGGGTCCTTTTTATTTCACTTTTTGAAATACTTTGAACTTTTTTTAAGGTTATGAAGGATCATAGTATATAAAAAGGAATTAAATTCCTCACTGCAAAAGTGTTGTAATATCAAAATGGTCTGCATAGACATTGGTCCCCCCTTTAGGATAGGGAAAATTTAAACAACATTTCCTGCAAGTGATATGATATAGACATGACTAATCGGCAACATGTGAGACACCTATGGCCCTGGGAGTCTTTGCAATGCTTCAGCCTCTCTTTTTAAGGCTGTCACATCCTACCACAACTGATACTTGTAAAATGAATGTGTGGCCACCCAAGCTCCTAGATTACAGATTGTGATTTATAATGTCTGTACACAAGTCAGTCAACAAGCATTTATTAAATGCTTCCATAAGCACCTGCTCAATACCAGGCATTGTGCAAAGCACAGAGAATACTAAGAAAGGCAGAAACACTGTCCTTCTCCTTAAGAAGCTCACATTGTAATGGAGGAGAAATATTTAAGTAACTATGTACACAGAAACATAACTAGGTATATAGAATAGACACACACATATATATATACATATATTTGTATAATATATAATACACATGTACAGTGAGTGGGAAGGTAATCTTAGAGGAAAGGCCAGGAACACAGTTGACAGAGAATATGAATGACAGAGTAAGCAGAAGTGAAAGAGTTTCTTGTAAATATGTTGGAAGCTCAGGAGTGTTATACATACAGGATATGCATACACTTGGAGGTATAGTGATGTGATGTGGGCAGCTGGGTGGCATAATAGGAAGACCACTGGACTTGGAGTCAGGAAGACCTTATTTCAAAATCTGCTTCAGACACTTAATAGTTGTGTAGCTCCCTGAGCAAGTGATTTAATTTCTCAGCTTCAGTTTCCTCATCTGTAATATGAGAATAATAATAGCACCTGAGAAGGTTGATGAAGTAGATCAAATGAGATATTTTAGAAGTGTTTTGCAAACCTTAAGGCACTATATAGATGTTAGCTAATATTATTAAATAGTGGTGACCTAAATTACTCTTGGTCGAGAATAGGATTTTGTTACTAACTGTAGCACTTGTTCAGTGACTTTGAGCTATGTGGTTAAGGCTCTGTGCATTGGTTTACACAGCACATTCATCAGTGAGTCATTTTCTGTAGTCAGGAAGGATGACATTTCTTTTGCTTTTCTCCAGAGAGCAGAAGTAGGAGAAGTTGGTGGAAATTGTAGAGAGGTAGACTTATTATTGCTTTAAAGATATAATGGACTTGAACTGACTTTATGTTAAACAATTTTTTTTTTCCTTATCAGGAACCAAAACTAGGTAAACAGATTCAGAAAGTAGTTAGTATGGCGTGTTTGTCAGTGGTCTGTGGGATCCTCTCCCAGCAATCAGATTTGCATCTTGATTTCCTAGATACTGAAATTTTGGAAAACTTTATTTCTTCCTTTCACCTCAACCAGATAGTAAGAAAGCCACATGCTGAGGAACAAAACAGGTTTGTACCAATCCTTTCTAGCTTAAGATGTTCTTGAACTGTTTCTTTTATTGCTGTTAGAAATTTTTAAAATCCCAAATCCTATCCTTGTGTTTTAGTAATTGAATTAGATACTCATCTCATCCAGCCCTGCTGTTGTCAGTTTGGTTAGACCATGTGTAGTTGTATTTGTCTTAGACTGCAATAGTATTAGCAAATTTTCTTCTTGTTAGCTGATGATGAGTAGGCTTCTTCAATTTAAGTGATTCTCTTCTGGGCAGGGGAACTTGATGGTAGTAATGTTTAAATTTGTCTCTATAAGAACATTGTATTGTATGTGCAAAGAAAATAAAACTTTACCATAAATAACTATAGGTAGTAATGGTATTTTTTTGTTACAGTTTATTTGAAGAATCATCTTCCCAGGGATGGGGGAGAGTAGTTGCACAGTATATTCATGATCAATGGCTCTGCCTCTCATTCCTGTTAAACAAATACCATACCCTTATACCAACCACAGAGGGTGAGATGGAGCCCTTTCTGCATGTCATTCCAAAGCCAGTAGGCATTTTGCAGTCTGCATTAGAAGCCCTCACTATCCTTCCTTCTGATCAAGTTTTGCCAGTGTTTCATTGCATGAAAATACTGGTTCCTAAAGTAAGTGATAGATTTGTCAATTTAAGTCTAGCTGTAGAAATAATTACAGAATTTTTTGAAATTAAGTGATAACTGCCTCCCTTTTTTTGTTTTTCTAAAGCTTCTTTACTCCTCGGAATCACTCTGCATTGAGTCTTTTGATATGGCTTGGAAAATTATATATTCTTTGAGCAATACACAACTGATATTCTGGTCTAATTTAAAAGCTTTTGTCCAGTTTGTCTTTGATATCAGAGTTCTTGCTGTTGCTGCCAGAATCAAGGGCCAGGCATATTCAAAAATAAAGGAGGTAAATTTTTTTTTAGCATAGCCTCTGGGATTATCATTTGTGGGTAAGAAATTTTAAGCTACCACTAAATTTACTATATTCAGTTATGAACTTAAAGATAACTAATTAGCACAGTGTAATGGGGCTTTATATGATTAAAAAAGAAATCTAAACCTAAGTATGCCGTGAAGTTTTCTTTTTAGGGAAAAGTGGCAGGGTTATTTATTCATTTTTTCCTGTTTTGGGGAGGGAATTTGTTCCTTTGGAGATTTCTAGATGATTAGGAAACCAGAGTGATCTTGTTAGTGCTATGATTTTTTGACTTTTTTTAACTGTCTCTAGGCATTGAATAGATTTGTTTATAGACTTGATGTTGGTTTTGTTGTAGCTTCTATTTGATTAGAGGTTGTTCACCTAATAGTTTATAGGGACACTGATTTCTTTGAAAGCAAAAATGCAAGTAAGTAAATTGACTTCCATTTTATTTTCATTTCAGATTATATATAAGATAATTGAAATGTCCACAACAAAGACTGGGGTCTTGAATATATTGATAAGTTATTGCTGTCGATCTTGGATAGTTCCTACTTCAGATGATTTGACTCTATCCCAAGATCCATTTTCAAGTGCTAGGGATTATATTGAACTTATTATTGAAGGCTGCATCTTTGGAACTGTGTTCAGACGAGATCAAAGGTAAAAAAGCACTTGATTTCATACTATTATATTTACATTAGATAACTTAATTGGGTAGAATTATATGTGCCAGCTACTTTACATTGCTTTTCTTTGTTTTGAAGCTGTTAAGAGAAATAAAAACTATTAGATTTGGAATTTTGTACTTTAATCTTTTAAAAATATTCTTTTGTCTTTTTTTTTTTTTTGTCAAGGCTTATACAGAATGTACAAACCTTCATAGAAAATCTTGGACATGGATGTGCAGCAAATGTTGTTACAGAAAAGTAAATATGTTTAATATTTTTTCTTGTGTAAACATAAATGGGAAATTGTTTCTTTATTATTATGAAGACACCTTTGTTAAATGGGGGAATATTTATGAGTTAGAAAAAATAAGACCTAATTAAATTAACATTTATTAAGCACTTGTTATATGTAAGGAACAATGTTGTTTAAGCCAGCTGTCAAAAAACACATTTAAATGTACTATTCTTTGAAAACTCTTTTTCTTGGTGCTATTGCCAATAATGTAAAATTTCAGTATTATAACCCTTGCACTAAAAGCCCAGAATGAAAAAAATGATTGACTACAGAAGATTTTTAGGCCCCTTTAGAATGTATTAAAGTGATTTATTCTTTAGATTTTCTTTGTTATGAAATTTACAGATGGCATAGCTAACTGATTAATACCATATCAAACAAAATATAGTTACTCTGAAACATTTTAGAAGTTTTTATCTCTGATTAGATCTGATTTCTCTGATCCATTCTGTGAACTCACCCTTATGAAAGTAATTTATTTTGTCCCTGAGAGAAAACAGTATTGTATTATTCACTTTGATTTATGTTTGTGAGAACTCATAATGAATTTCATCATTCTTTACTTTTCTTTGTAAAACCAAAAGTTATAGTCATTAAAATATATTATTTTGAAAGATATTCCCAGGTGCATTGTAGAGTATCTGCTATTATTCATGGAGCTGAATTTCTCCACTTTTAAAAAAGACTTTATGTTTTAAACAAGAGAGAGAACAGGGGTTCTACAGGGGTTACTGGGGCCCCTGACCCTTAAGGAGTCCATGGATAGATTCAGGGAGTTCATGATCTTGCATGGGGGAAAAAATCCATTATTATTTTAACAATCTCTACAGAAATTTAGAATTTCTTTCAATTATTAATTAAAAAACAAAACAAAACAACTTTTTTTCTAAGAAGGGGTCTGTAGACTTCATGTGACTGCCAAAGTGATCCATGACTCAAAAAGGGTGAAGAACCCTTGTGGTAGAACACAGCATATGTAAAATTTTCCAGTTAACTTAAAATGATATCCTCATTCGTATTAGAATAGAGAGTGTGGAAATTCATTAAATTAACTGCCAATAATTTTTGCTAAGATGGTTTATATTTAGCTCTGCTTCTCGTAGTTTTTCAAATAGGAGTGTAAAGGAGTGCAAGAATATAGGCCCCCTTTGCCAGATGTACCTTGTATTTTTTAATATTGAAAAATACTAGCCATTGTGATACTTGATATTTATTCCAATTGTTACTTGAGAAAAGGAATATTTGCAATCTTGGATGTAATCTGCTTTTATAAGGTTTTATTGCTTGGCTATGATATCAGATGTGCTTTCCTTGGTATGTGAAGGTGATACTACTTGTCCAATATCAATAGAGTATGAATGTTGAATAAGAACAGGTGTCAACTTGGATTTGTGTTGATCCATTCATACTTTCTGGAGAGTTCCCCCAATTGACTAAAATATGATTCTTTTTATCTTCAATGTTAAGCAGTAATGAAAAATTATTTTCATTAAATTTGGGACTTTTAACTTAATAAAATTTGTTTTACCAGGGTTTTTAAAAAATGTTTTAATAAAATAGTTTCATTTGCTTACAACACATTCAAGATATATTAAATATTATTCAATACATGTGTTTTCCAGTACTAACAGAGATGACCATTATGTGAGAGTTTGCACTATCAAATTCCTTTGTTTATTGGATGGATCAAATATTTCCCACAAGATGTTTATAGAAGATCTTGCAATCAAGCTACTAGATAAAGTAAAGATGTTACTTTATTTTACCTTTAAGATAATTTAAAAATAATCTTTGTTTTTATTAAAGGACTAACAATATAGTGGTGTATTAACCCAGCAGGTTCAGTCAGCAAGTGCATTATTCTTTTCACATAGGCAGAAAGTACATTTTAGTGTTTTGAAAAAAACAAAACCTCTAAATCAAGAAGAAATTAGCTTTAGTGTTTATTTCTAAACATTTGGGTTCAATATTAGTGTAGTTACTATGTTAGGCAAAATTGTTTTATTGGACCTAGTTTTTATATCTAAAAAACAGACAGCATAAATATAAAAGTATTGTTATAAGCTCTGGATTGTGGATTTTCAGAAAAATGTGTCAGGATTTGCATCTCCATAAATTCTTCCTGTTGTATTACATGATGGCAATTTCCCATTATTAAAATAATCAGTGTAGCTAAGTGGGCAAATTTCTTGAAACTGTATGCTCAGCTCTGTACTTTGGGAGTTAGTTTAAGATATGAAAAAAGAGGTAGTAAAAAAGCACCAAGCTGGTTTCTGTTTTCACACTTTAAATCGTTAGCTTTTGGGTCCTGTGGTTTTGAAATCCCCATTGCTTAGAGTGGTAAATTCCACTAATGGCTCTGTCATTGACTTGTTTTGTGAAGAGAGAGTGATTCAACTTTAATAATTCTATAATTCTGACACAATGTAGGAAATTTGGAACGTTCAAGGATGTGTCTAAGTTTGGTTCTCTTTTGGTAGGATTTCAGAAAGGAATAGAATAATGAAGTAATTCAGCTCAATAGGATTCAGTTCTTGCTATATGTCAGTCACTGGGCTCAATGTTGAGAGTGCATGTACAAAAATGGAATAGTCTCTGACCTCAACAATCTTATATGTTACTGAGGGGAAAATGTCAAGTGCATAGATAAATAAATAAAAAATATATAGAAGGAAAAAGCAAAGTAATTTTGAAGTGTGTGTGTAGGGGGTAAGTGTACTAATGACTGGAGGTTTCAAGAAAGGCATCTTGTAGGGGGTGACACTTGATCTGAGCCTTGAAAGGAGTTACCCGGTAGTCTTAACAGGTGGAGGTTAGGAGAAAGCATTCCAGGTATAGGAAATAATCTGTGTAAGGGTAGGAGTTGGAATACTGTCTATGGGGAGAAGTTGGGAGGGAGTACCTGCCCTGCATCTCATGTATCTGTCATGGTTTTTTACTACTCAAATAGCCATTGCTATAGTTTAGTTCCTTCTCTTACAGCTAACTGCCTCCTACTTGGTCTCTTCACCTCAAGTCACATTTAGGCATGAAGTCAGGGAAAACTTCCTCCCAGAGCTGTGTGCAAGAGGAACTGCTACTTTTAGAGGGAGTGGAAGGTGTTAAAGCAGAGCCTGGACAGTCACTTGTGGGACAGGTTATGGTGGGCATTTCTAAATAGCTGCAGAGGTCCCTTTCAGCTCTTAGATTCTGTGAAGTATCTCTCGACTCCAGTCCATCCTCCACAGAGTTGCCAAAGTTATTTTCCTGAAGTGCAGATCTGTTCATGTTACTTCACTACAAGGTAAACTACAGTGGCTTCCTATTAACTCCCAAGATAAAATGGGAATTCCTCTGTTTGGCTTTCACAGTCTGGCTCTAGTTAGTTTTTCCAGCCTCATTATATATTACTTTCTTTCCCACACTTTATGGTACAGCTAAACTGGTTTTCTTGATCTTTGCAATCAGCACTCTGTCTTTTGTCTCATTGCTTTTGTATTGGTCATCCCTGATACCTAGAATGTACTCCTTTACCACCATCTCAGAGAATCCTTTATTTCCTTCAAGACTCAGACTAACCTGATGCCCCACCTTCTAGTGCCCTTTCTCCATATACCACCTTGTATTCTTCTCTGTATGTCTTCTCTTTTAAAAGTAGAGGGTTTTATTTTTGTCTTTGTATCTCCAGTGCCAGTGTGTGATATGTAGTAGGCACTTAATACTAGTTTATTGATTAATATGAAATTTGTTGAGAGCGATAGGTTAGAATGAGACTGTAGAGGACTTTAAATGCCAAAGGAATTTGTATTTGATCCTAGAAGCATTAGGGAACCATTAAAACTTCTTGATCAAAGGTAATAACATGGTCAGAGCTGTTCTAGGATGATCAGTTTGGCAGTTATGTACAGAATGAATTGGAGATGGGAAGTACTGGTAGAAAGGAGGTCAGTTAGATGGCATTTGGAATAGTCTAGGCAAGAGGCAGGGCCTGAAGTAGAGTGGTGGCCATGTGGATGGAGAGGAAAAGATAATACAGAGGTAGAATTAACAGGACTTAGTATCTGATTGAATATGGGAATGAGGGAGAAGGAAGAATTGAGGATGATTTCAAGGTTTCAGCCTGGGTGACTGCAAAGATAGTAGCATCCCAACAAATACAGAGAAGTTACAGTGTATGATCCAGATGATCAGAAATAAAGTGTTGTACATTTTGGCTTTAGTTTTCATAAAATAAATAACAAAACAAAACACTGAGAGCAATAAATTAAAGAATTTTTTTTGATAGCTATTTTCTTGATAGGTAAATTTGGGTGGAATAGTGGAGAAAGTAAAACAGTAAGCTGTCTGTCTGTCTCTCCCTTCTTCCTTCTGTTTCTCTTTTGATTTCCATCTTGTCTATGTTTTCAAGTAAGAAGTATGTGGTTCTTTGTAATGTGCCTGTTTTAAACTTGTGGAGGATAGCTAGTTGCCCAGAACCGTTATGTACATTTCTTCTGAAAACATAAGGAAACCTTTAATACCTCTGTGTAGAGCACCTTGTGGTGAAGTATAAAATATGGTTTCTGCTGTCAAGGAATTTTCTGTTAAATTTAGTCAGTCAACAAACAAGCATTTATTAAGCACTCATTTATGTGCCTGGCATTGTCCTTTGCAAGCAGCTTAGGCAGTTGGCTCAGTGCTGGGCCTGGAGTCAGGAAGACCTGAGTTGGAATCCAGTCTCATACATTTACTAACTACGTGACGTGGGCAAGTCACTTAGCCCTGTGTACCTTAGTTTCCTCATCTATAAAATGAGCTGGAGAAGAAAATAGCAAACCATTCTAGTATCTCTGCCAGGAAAACCCCAAATGGGATCATGAAGAATTGTACATGACTGAAAAATGACAGAACATCATTGTCCTGAGCACTGAGATACAAAAAAAGGCAAAATCACAGTCCCTGCCTTCCAGGAACTCACTTTATCTCTCTCCCTCTCTCTCTCTTTCTTTGTTTTTTGGTGAGGCAGTCGGGGTTAAGTGACTTGCCCAGGGTCAAACAGCTATTAAGTGTCCAAGTGTCTGAGGCCAGATTTGAACTCAGGTCCTCCTGATTCCAAGGCTGGAGCTCTATCCAATGTGCCACCTAGCTACCCCTTGGGAACTCACTTTCGACTAGAGGAGACATATAAATGACTATGCACGAGTTTAGAGTTCAGACTGAGTCTCTTCACTTATCTATAAGTATCCTCTTTCCTTGTGTTCCTTTGTACCTCGTTAAAAAAAAATAGTTTTAATATTATTTTTTGATTTTTTTTATACTGCTCCAAATGTTTTTCCCTCCTGTTTTTCTCTTTTTTTATCTTTCCCCCCATCTGTTGTATGTTTTTTTTTTCCTCTACCTTTTCTTCTCCTTCTGCACACCTAAGATAGTTCATGCTTTGAGGTAGGGTGGTAGAGATTAAAAAAAAAAATCACTAGACTGAAGGAGTAGCTGGGAATTTGCCACAAATTAGCTTTGCAATCTTGAGAAAGTTTTTTTTTTTTTTTATGGGCTTGATTTTCATCTGTAAAAATGAAGTTTGGTTGAATGATTCCTAAAGTTTCTTCATTGTATTCTCATTCCTTTCCCTTATTGATAATATGGAATTAAGGCATACTTTAAAGTCATTCATTTCATTTAATAAATGAACTTTCATTCTTCTTCTGAATTTTAGAAGCAGGTAAGTTGAACTTCTGTGTTTACCTCTTTAAAAATTAAAAAAGACACATAACACTCACTTGCTGTGTGACTCTGGGCAAGTCACTTAACCCCATTTACCTCACTTAAAAAAAAAATGAAAAAAAGTCCTATGTTTAGTTGCCTTTTTCTTTTTCTTCTTTTTTTGGCGCTCTTGATTTCCCCCTCCCCTTTCTTTGTGGGGTAGTTGCACATGAATTTATTTTCTAAAAGATGTTGGTAGGCTGAGGGGTTTGGGGTTACATTGTTGCCTTATGCTCTAGCAAATTACATTTGTAACTTGTTTTAGTTCTAATCACAAACCGTTTAAGTACTTTTTAAACTTAGTGTTATAACATGAAAATTGAATTTCTTTTCAGGATGAACTGGTATCCAGGTCTAGAACACGCTATTATGTGAATTCTTTGCAGCACAGAGTGAAAAATAGAGTGTGGCAGACTCTACTTGTACTGTTCCCCAAATTTGACCAGGTATACCTTTCATCATACACACATCATTAAGACTAATTTACCTTTTTAATTACGAGATTATTCTGTTAAAACAATGCTTGATACTTTTAAATGAGATTAGGCTGAGGAATACATACTTATATCAAGCTTCATAATTAAAATTAAGTAGAAGATGCATTTTATGAAGAAAGATACTGGCCTAATCACTTGTTTACTAGGATAATAAGTTTCATAGAAATAAATTTATAAATGGACTAAGTAGCATAACCAATACCCCTTTAATATTTTATTATCTGATGATAACTTAACCTTCACTAAAATATAAATGTGAGCACAGAGGAAAATAACAAAAATGTATGTTGGAAAGTACAGATTAGGTTTGAAATGCCAAGAAAGGAAAAAGCTATATCTAGACTGCTTGGATATTTTCTTCAGTAAGAGGATTGGAAGACAGGACATGTGGAGATGGCAAGTACTGAATTAAATTACCCTACACCCTGCCCCTCCAGTAATATTTCTTAACAGACAGGAAATCCAGTTACTGATAATGGAAGTCATTTCAAAATCAGATTTTTTTGCCTATTAACTGCTATAGTTAGAACAAAAGTAAAACACAACTTCAAATTAGATGAAAGAATAAAAATGAAAAGATATCAAACAGTTGCAACATGTTCATGCTGACATTTTCAAAACACATGTCAATGGTAGAGGCAGGGGGAGGAAAATGGAAAAAGACATTAATAATGGCCTTAATTATCATTCTTTCCAGTAAAATTGTAGCTGATATAAAGCAGTCACCACAGTAAGGAGAACAAAAGAACCTAGAAACCACTTCAGCCAGTTTAGACTCCATCTCCTTGCCAAGCAGCAGTAATGACAGTTTAGGATACAAACTCATTTGTAAAACACTAGGAAGGAGGGTGGTAGAATATTATGAATAGTATTTTTGCCTCATAACACTAGAAAGCTGTCAAAGCAAAACATCTATAGAAAGTTTGGCATGAGACCCTAGCTCAGTCACACTATTTCAGAAATATTCTGTCTGGAGGACACAAACAGAAAGTGTAACCTTTTTTGTGTTTCTATAATTGTAAACATCAGTAATAGGATCTGAATATGATAGTTCCTCTAACGCTTTTGAGTCCTCAGTGTGCTATAGATGGATTTTAAAATGGCACTTAAAAAGAAGTTTGGAAGAGCAGTTGGTTCAGACGCTCTGAGGCAATCTGTGCTGAAGGCAATGTAATATTGAAGGTGTTGAGGGGTTATTTTACAAGATGACTTAGGGAAGGGAAACTCTCAGACAAAGCAATCAGAAAAATCACGGGCAATGTATTGTCATCAGTCTTCTTTTTTAAGTATCAATAACTGCTAACCCATATACCTATTTTCTCTTTTTAGAAAATCATTATGGGAATGATCTAAAAATATATTGAAGGTATCATCAATTAAGGCGTAAGAAAGAAACAATCAGGCTTTCAAAATCAATTTTCTATAGCAAACCACAGGTTTTTGGTCATAGAAATCACTGAAAGGTACAAAGAATGTGTGATTCTTTGTATTTTTTGATTATCAAATGTATTTTTTGATTATCAAAAAAGAATTTGGCTTGGTAGATCAAAATGCTACCTTAAAAAAAAAACCTCTTCTCCATATGCTTCTCATACATATGCTAAAATCTACAAGGTTTCTTAGTAAAATGAACCAGAGAAATTACTCCGTTCAAGGATTTTTTAGCATCAGATGAGGAATATAACAGGTGGATAAAATCTCTCAAGATGTTCACTTCTCCAATGGAATATGTCCTAGGCAAGGTCCAAATGGAAAAGGGATTACTTTTACATGGCAGGGTGACCCACATGTTCTTTGTGGATGATATTGTGTTAATCAAATCAAGCTCCAAAACATTACAGGGTCTCATTAGTGAGATACTTGTTTACTCGAGATTAGTCTAATAATCCGTCAAGAAAAATTTAAGTGGCTAAGGATGAAAAACGTCTGTTGTCCAGATTACAGATTGGATGGTCGGTCCATTGAGTCCCAGATATATCAGTATCTGTGAAGGCACCACAACTGAATGGTTAATTGGGCCCAAAGTACAAGAAAAAGTCGAGAGCAGGATGTATTTAATTTGGGAAATTATGTAGTGCTTTGAACAAACTCAAACTGGCCCCTCACACAAAAAGTCAGCTTAAAAAACAAAACACATAAATGTACTATTAATGATTCTGTAGGATTGTGAATCTTAAAATATTACAATTTCTGAAGAGCCAAAGTTGCCAGTGTCCCAAAGTTCAACTTAACCTGTGCATTTTGGGCACAGGTAGGTTAAAATATATTTCTGCTGGGGAAGTATATATAAGAAGTAAAATCATTGTGGAAGTGTATAATTAGAAGATATGAGCTGGTGGGGCTGGTCATAGTGCAAGTGCTACAGATAAGGGATGGACCACTTAATCGGTATACCTAATATCTACAAAATAGAAAGATACTTAGAATGAGGCTTCTAGTATTTTGAGTAGGTCCTTTGTAGAGGAGCTCTGGGAGAAGATGGGGGAAAAAAAAGTCAAGGATGATAAGATACGGATGAGTTGCTATTTATATGGATGGAGGAAATAGCTACATTGTTAAGATCACAGATTCATTTAAGTAGTAAAATATTAATGCATTCCTGCAGCAATTCCACAAAAATCTGGTTGGGTAAATATTTAATGAACTGTGAGATACAGTGAAGTAGACTTCCTGGTCAGGTAACCAACAAGACGAAGTACTAGACACTTTCACCGATCCTTATGACCTCTCAAAAATGGAAATTATATTCAAGAGATAAAGCAGTTTAGCTTTCTCCAGACACCAGACCGCTTTCTCTAAGACACCAAGAGCTTTAGGTAATAATGCTTGTTTACTCAAGAAATTAAGGATTAAGCTTCTTTCTTAAACCTTAATATTCTCCCTCACTGTTCCCACCAGGTACCATGGTCTGGCAAGGCTGCAGAAGCTGATCCATGGTCTTGCAACAGAACTAAACTCTGCACACGTGTGCGTGCATGCACACACATACACATTTGCACATGCGCACGCGTGCGCGCGCACACACACACACACACACTCCTTTTCCTCCTTCCCACAGAAAATCGAAAGGCAGAAGCTTACTCTAGTAGGTTTGCAGCATGGTGTTGCTCTGTGCTGCAACAAAGCTCAGCCAGAGAACTGGGGCAGGATGCCAATGTGTGTGATATATCACTTAGACTGAGGGAAAGGGCCTAGCATTGATCTGGGGCCATCTCTGTCCCCCTAGAAGTTACTTGGGGCAGAGACTGAGGCCAGTAAACCATAAATTACCCAGTAGGGGCAGATGCTGAGACAGATTTAAGGTCTTCCTTTGGGGTAACAGTCATCAAAAAGGAAGAGTAAGAAAGTGAGAAATAAGAAAAAAAAAAGAAATTACCAAAGACCTTGAACATAAGCAGATGAACCAAAAGGGAAGATGAGAAGATGGCCTCCAGATCAGTTAACTGAGTCTAAATTTCTTTCATTAAATATTGCAAGTCAGAGGAAAATGAATCAATACCTGATGAGGCAGAGAACCCTGTGGATTACCAAGAGAACATGGAACTATAGCTGCATGTTCCCATATGGTATAAAAGAGAAGTAAGAATTGTGGAAAAAGAATTTATGGCCTGTACAATAGAAATAATTGACAGAAGAGAAAAAACTTGAATACACAGTAGAAAACTATTTAAAAAAAATGAGAGAACAGCTGACTGGGAATACAAATACATAGAAGTGAAGGATGATCTGGGAACAGAGAAGCAAAAAACCCCAATAACCTTAAAACGAAGATTGCAAAGGGGATGAACAAACACGAGATACACTCTTTGATATCAAGTTACTATTTAATTGGGAGTATTATAAATCACCTTGTGAACTTGATTACTTTGTAAAAGTCAGCTCTTAGTGTGTAGTTGATTTAAATCATTCAGTAACTTCTAAAAATTATTGACATAGGAGCTAAGGTGCTAAGGCAACTATATAAAAACTTGAGCCAAAATAGTGAAAAAAAAAATTACGTAATTATGGTACTTAAGATTGGTGGTGGCTATTAGGATTATTGAGTTTCCTTATTCAGTGCTTAGTTTTATTTGTTAAATATTTTAGAAAAATTCATGAAAAGTTAATAAAATTAATGTGTTTTTGGTTTTTGTTTTTTTTTTGCTTAAATGATTTAATATGCAAGGAATGATTTTTCCTCGGGAATAACTGATTTTGTAATTTTTTTTTTACTTAGAACTTCTTGGATCAGATTATTGACAAGATTTTTGAAGCAGGGTTCGTTAATAACCAAGCATCCATAAAATATTTAATAGAATGGATTATTATATTGATTCTTCATAAATTTCCTCAGTTTCTTCCAAAGTTCTGGAATTGTTTTTGTTATGTAAGTAAATGGCAGTTTTCATGTTTTGCTTAAAAAAGAGTTTTACTCACTTAGTGGATCCATGTTTCATATTCCATAGCAAAATGTTTGATGAACTCAGCTTTGAATCTGATGTACTACTTTATGAGTAAGTAAATGAAAGGTATGAAAAAGAGAATAGTAGTAGAGTTAACCTGTTGTGTTACCATTTAGTCTTGGTCTTACCAGTTAATATTTACAAAACAAAAATCTGAAAAAAGCTTTTTTAAATATTAATTAGCAATCAGAATAGATTGGGTACTACATCTATATCTACATCTATGTATCTATACAGACACATATATAATTTATACACCCACATATCAGACAAACCCTTTGATTTGTTATTATGACATATTTAAATTATTGAAGGCTTTTATGTAAAGATTAGAGAGGCAATGTCCCAGCCATCCTTGGTCATGAAACCTGGGTCCAAGTCCTGCCTCTGACATGTGCTAGACTCCCCCAAATACAAAGATTAGTTCTAGAATTTATAATTGAAGAACTCAGAAAAACAGTGAAAAATATTCCTAAAATATCTGTCTTATGTTTGTTATGAACATTTTTGTGTTGATTCCCTTATGTCCTTCAGTCTTTGACTATTCCAAAATGCAGCAACTTTGTAATCTGTCCACCTGTCTATAGTCATCCCCTTCCAATCCATTTTACATACTACCACCATTGCCTTCTTCATCTTTTTAAAATACTTCTTTACATCTCTTTATTGCCCCCAAACCTTTAATAACTATCCCCTCCATTGCACCTCGTAAAGGTCCTATGGCCCAGCAGAGCAATCAAGTTCCTCTATAGTCGCAGTCAAATAGAACTTTACATCTTTGCTTTCCCCTGCTCCCCTATTGGAATCTTCTGCTTTTTGTGGATACAGCCCATGCTTTCCTACATTTGGTCTTTGATTCCTTCCATTCCCTTCTTCCAGAATAGACAACTCTGCTCCTTTGCCTCCATGCAAAACCCTACCTTTGTTTAATTGATTGATTTAAGTTACTTTTCCTGTGTGAAAACTTCCTCAGACCATTCTATTCCACAGTGACTTAGCATTCTCTTTTTGATCACTTATTTGATGGCATATGCTATTTATATTGTAACTCTTGTGTTAGTATCTTTAACTTTTCATGATTTTATAACCTTGTCTCCCTAACTAGAATATGAACTTCTCAAGGTTAGGGATCATGTCATATGCTTAATTATTTTATATCCTTTATAGTGCTTTTACTGAATAAATACTAGCTCAATGCTAATTGTTTGATTCGTTTTCTCTAGGGTGAAGAAAAACTCAAAATGAGTGTTTGTACATTTTTATCAGTTTTGTCACATTTGGATATCATTATTCAGAATATATCTGAGATGGTAAGTTTAAAATGTTTAGAGTAAAAAAATACACATCTTACATGTAGATCATCAATTTTTAAATATTTGTAGTAATTTCCTTGAAACATAGAATACTTGGTATTCTCTTAATTTTACCATCTTCCCTACTACAATATATGTGTATATATATATATATGTGTATATATATATATATATTTCCTCCTTTTTAAGAAAAAGTTAGATAAAAATCTGAATTTGTAGATAAAGTACATTACTTGTAGATTATCAAAAACCATTGCTTGTCGTTTTTATTTTTAGTCCAAATTCTCCCTCTTTTATTCCTCTCCCACCCAATATGATACGTACTGTACATGTAAAGTGATACAAGACATATTTACACATTAGCCATGTTCCAAATAAATCAGTAAATAAATAAAAGCAAGAAAAAGAAAGGAGGAAAAAAATATACTTCAGTATGCCCCTTGAGTCTATCAGCTCTCTATCTGGAGGTGGATAGTATGTTTCATCCTAAGTTATTTGGAGTTATGGTGGACCATTATGTTGATCAGAGTTACTAACTCTTTCATAGTTGATATCTTTGTAATATTGCTATTATCGTGTATATTGTTCTCTTGGTTCTGCTCATTTTTATTTTGCATGACTTCATGTCAGTCTTCACAGGTTTCTCTGAAATCATCTCCCTTGTCATTTCTTATAGCACAATAGTATTGTATCATATTCATATATCACAACTTGTTCAGCCGTTTAGCCACCACAAAAAGAGCTGCTACAAATATTTGTGTACATATGGGTCCTTTTCATTTTTCTTTGATCTTTTTTTGATGCAGACCTAGTCTGCATTGGTCAGAGGGTATGCACAGTTTTATAGCCCTTTGGACATATTTCTAGAATGCTTGGAGCAGTTCACAACTCCATGAACAGTGCTTTAAGTATACCTGTTTTCCCATATCCGCTCCAGTATGGATATCTGTTATGCATTATCTATTACCATACAAAGATATCAACTATGAAAGATTTAGTAACAGATCAAGGATTTGAATGTCATCCCTTTGATTCCAAGTCTAAGTATTCTTTCCATTAGAAATCTAAAGTTCATCTTTCACATGAAAGCCCTTCAGATATTTGAAAGATGGTTTTTAGGGTCTTTTGTGTCTTCTCTTTATCCTAAATATCTTCATTTAATATACAGCTCTAGGATAGTGTCTTGGGATCAAAAGAAGGCAAAAATATGCAATTTTTTAAGATTTATGTATAATTTGATACTTTCAGTTGTAGAAGTGTTTTCTTTTTTGAGAACAAAGAGGGAAATTTGCTTAGAACAGCAATAATCATTTTCTTTTCTAAAATGTTTCATACATGCCTGCTAAAACCAACCAAATATTTTGGCATTCAAGTAAAAAAAGTTTTTTTTTTTCTTAATTAGTTCCAGAAATTGAGAGCATTGTTATTTTCATTTGCAAGGAATGTGGGCAGAAATTTCGTTCTATTATTTAAAAATTAAGGAGCTGTTACTGTAGTAGACAGAGTTTTGTTGTTTTACTTTGCAATAAATGGCTTCAGTTACTGCCAGCCAATATAAGAACAACTCCCAGATCCACACTCTAGCCACATTATCAACTTAAAATGAACATCAGAAATTGAGCTGAATGTCTTTTTCCTTTTTAAGTCTTCCCCTTTTATCTTTAGTTTCTGTCTTTTGTAGTTTGTTCTATTGATTCTTCCACTATAATGAATCTCAATTTTGCCATTTTCTTTTCATTCCCATTGCCCCATTCCAAACCCCATGTGTGTTTTTTGTACCTAGACCATTACATCATTCCTTTTGCTGCCCACCTGGACTATGTCTAGCAGATACCACCTCCAAACTTAGACCATACCCTAAAGAATTGATCTTCTTCCTCTAAAGTCAGTTTGGTCCATCAGAATTTTTCCTACCACCCTATCCTATCTCCTACTCTTCAGAACTGACGTGGTCATTTAACTACTAAGTCTTAGCTGTTGGTGCTGTTCTTTGCATTCTGTGCCCTGTGGTCTTTCCTCTAGTCAAGCAATTGTACTTAGTATTTTCCTTACTTATTTTGCTGTCTCCCATGTATATTACACATAACCATTGGTGGTACCATTCACCTTAGTCTTATAATTTTGAAGATTTCTTCCTCTTGGTAGTCCATATTTCTTTTACCATAAAAAACTTTGCTTTCCTTTTTATGTTTATGGAACCTTATTCTGGTCAATGTAACTAGATGGTCCTTTTTTGTTTCTGTGTGTGTGTGTGTGTGTGTGTGTGTGTATGTGTGTATGTATGTATGTATGTTAACCACTCAGATACTTATTTCTAAATGTTTTGGTACATCTCCAATAGTGAGTAGACAATGATTTTTTTTTTTTTTACTTTTTTGATGAGGCAGTCGGGTTAAGTGACTTGCCCAGGGTCACACAGCTAGTAAGTGTCAAGTGTTTGAGGCCAGATTTGAACTCAGATCCTCCTGACTCCAATGCTCTATCCACTGCACCACCTATCTGCCACTACAATGATTCTTGATACATATTGATGAATGACTGAAAAAAGGAACCTAATGCCATTTTAAATGTGCTGACCAAGTGATTTATCTCCTCAACTATCTTGTCAGTACAAATTCCCCCAAACTATTAGCAACTTATGTTTGACTTTTAAGATAGATCTAGGCCAGTAAAGATTTCCACCTGGCAGGAACATCTGAGGAGCTACTTTAATAAGTAACAACAACAACAACAAAAAATCGACATACTTTTATTTAAAAGTTTGGCTCTTGTAGTTTCCACATTTAAATAAAACAAGCTCTTCCTGAATAGTTGCTAACTCTGCCTAACAATATTCTTCTCACTATTCTAAAGTAAACCTTGTGATTTAAAAATAAGGAAAACTCAATTAGTATGTAAATGGGAAATTTTGGTCTTATGTAAGAAAATGAGCATTACCTACTGGATAGTATACATCATCTGGCATGCAAAACTCTCCTTCCTTAAAATCTGTGATCTAGTCAAATTGGCCTTCTCTGTCTTCTTCAGCTATGGTGCTCTTACCTCCTATTTCTGAGCCTCTGCACTGCTTTTAACTCTGTACTACTTGTCTTTTTCATTAGAATGTAAGCTTCTTTTGAGTAGGTGTTGTTTCATTCTTTGTACTTTTATCCCTAATGCCTAGTGCAGTGCTTGCCATATAGTAGGCACTTAATAAATACTTGCTGATTGATCAAGATTCTGATATTCAAGTATCATTTTTACCACTGAGTCATTATGTAATCTATAAAAGACAGCTTTCTACATTTCAGTTTCCTTTCCAGACCCTCTAGTGACCTCATAGGGATGTTAAAATATAAATAGAAAATACATTTACTGAGCACTTAATGTGTGAAAAGCACACTGTATCAGATATTAAGAAAGAGACCTAATTTAGGCAAAAGGATCCCTGCCTTCAGACAATCTACTATTTAAGTGTTTTTAATTTATCAGGCATAGGATCTACGTAAAGCCTGTGATTGTGGTATTATTGTAATGGAAAAATCTCTTGGGTGCTTTTCTAGAGTAGGGTTTAGGATACATAGTTAGTAGAGCTTTATTTTTTAATTTAATTTTCTTAATAGTCATTTTTTTTTTCTTACAGACTAGTATAATTTTACAAGATTAGTAGGCAATGGTGTCAGTTTCTGTGATGGGCGAATAGTCTTTGAGTTTACTGAAATAGGATATGAAAAAGCTAAATTGCCTTGTTATTTTTCTTAATACATCTTAATTTCCTGCCACCTCCTTAGTGTTGAGTCCAAGTTGATTAAAGAAGACATAGTAGCTAAAACATCAGTAATGATTTAGCTCTTTAAGTGGTATCCTACTTGGTAAATACTTGTAATTTTGTGACTTGGATAGCTCTTAAAGGATATTCCAACTTGTAGTTAGAGAAAAGGTGATAGGAATAGTTGAAACTCAACTTTAACAAACACTTTAGTGACCTTGGGCAAATCATTCTAATTCTTTGGGCCCCATCTGGAGAATGAAGGGGCTGAATTAGTTGAATTTTTAAGATTCCATCCAGTTAATGCCGCATGAGTCTAAGGTATTTCAGTTAATCAGTAAGCATTTATTAATTAAGCTCCTTATATGGGCAAGGCACTGTGTTAAGTCCTGGGGATACATAGAAAAGCAAAAAACAGTCCTTGCCCTAGAGGAGCTCACAGTCATTATAATGGGGGAGACAATATGTATAGACATGCTTACTTACATACATGATAAAAGGAAATAATCCAGGGCAGGGGTACTAGAATTTAGTCCAAAATAGCCTAAGTACTAAAGTGTTTGTTTGTTTTTTTAAAGCATTAAATAACCTAGGAGTTGAGAGAACATTTTTTTCCCTCTCAAGATGCAAATGTAAAAACACCTAATCTAAAAAGAAGTGGTTGCATTGGTTTGTTAATTTTTTTGAGTCCTAATCGAAAGTATGTTATTATGATTACTACTTATTTGTACCTAACTCCTTATTCATTATAGGTTTTTGACGTAGGTGGTATGAGTGTTTTTATTCCCACTTTATTGATAAGGAAACTGAGGCACAGAGAGCTTAAGTGACTTGACTTGTACTCAGCCACTAAACACCAAACCCACATCCTTTTATTTCAAGTCCTGTTCCCCTTTTACTAATATGGACTCACTATCATTCCTTAACTTTTTTGCTCAGCTGGTAACAGATAATGATTTGTGTCTAAATTTGAAGATTCTCTTTGTCCTTTCTTCTAGAAACCAGTTCTAAAACAAGCTCTTACTGTCGTACTCCAGTGGTGTTTCAACCATAATTTTAGTGTTCGACTGTATGCTTTATTAGCCCTTAAGAAAATCTGGGCTATGTGCAAAGCTTTGCACGTAGAGGAGTTTGATGCTTTGACTGCTGTTATAGAATCCAGCCTTCATCAAGTAGAAAACATGCATGGAGCAGGGTATGTAAAATTTTATAATTAATGCTCTGTTTATTTCTGTTATGGTTAAGCTATAAAATGATATTGTTCCTCTAATATTTTTGCCAGATTGTAGCTGTTAGGTTTTCCTTTATTTTAATGTTGTGTTAGATAGACTATGGAGCTACTAAAGCCACTTAGTAAATTCTAATCTGTCCAGTTTAATGGTAATTTTATTTACATTGAGCCTGATTTTTAACTTTTGTTAATTTTATATTTCTAAACCTTTTATTCTTGTATCATTTTTTTATGTATTTTCAGAAAGAATTAGTATGAGATTTATGCAAAGGTAATAACCAATTTCAGTCTTTTTGGTACAAAATACCATGTTGCAGGTCTGGAACAAAAGGATCTGTAGGAGATTTATTTTGGTTGTATGTGTTAGACTTTCCTTCAATAAATTATAAGCTTATTTGAGGTGCTGCTAAATATTTGTTGATTGGTTATAGAAATAATAAGAATTCGAGCAAATGCTTGTCATCATATCATAAGATTTAGAGATAAATAGGGATCTTGGAAATCATTGAATCTAACTGATTCATTTTGCAGATGAGGAAACTGATACTCAAATAGATAAAGCAGCTTGTCACAGAGTGAGAATTCAGACCTAAATCTTCTGACTCCAATTCTAGTCCTGCTTTTACTGTGCTTGTTTCTCTCTCTACATCAGTGGAGTGAGTAGGCTTCCTAAGTCTTCATTTATAATTAGCTTGAGAATGCTGAAAGACTTATTAATTTCCAGAGGCTTGGGAAATGAATATAGCCTATTATTAAAAGTGCTGATTATTTATAGTTAAGGTATTAAAAAAAACAGCTTGGCATAGTAGATAGAGAGCTAGTCTTGGAGTCAAGGAGATCACATTTCTGGTGTGTGACTATGAGCAAGTCACAACCTTTATATCCTTCAAACAGCTAAGACTAAATTACAGAAAGAGGGCTGATCTGTATTTGTGAAGGAAGTTCTTCATCTAGATTTCCCTGGGTGCAGGAAGGAAAGCGTGTATGTGTGTGTGTGTGTGTGTGTGTGTGTGTGTGTGTGTGTGTGTGTAGCATGTATATACCTCATCAACAACAAAAACAACAATAATTTACATTTATGTAGTGCTTTTACATGAGAATTTGAAGGAATATATTTTATTAGCACTTGAAACATAAGTAGCTGATAGGAAATTTGAAATTATGTGAATTATGTGAACTAGTGATGTAATAGTATTTACAGTTTTAATCATCAGAAAGGAAAGTATTTCAGGCAGTCAGTCAGTAAACATTTATTAAGCATCTACTATGTGCCAGGCACTATGCTAAGTGTAAGGGATACAAAGACAGGCAAAAGACAATCCCTTTTCTCAAGGACCTTACCGTATAGTGGGGGAGACAACAAGGAAACAAGGGGTGAAAAAATGGCAGAAGGCATTTGGGTGAAACCTGAGATAAGGAAGAGGGGAGAAGATCTTCTTTTAAAAAGAACTGCAGTTTGTAGGATAAGTATGAAATAATTGAGAGAGAATGCACTAAAATTAAGAGGGGTTGGGAAAGGCTTCCTATAGTAGATGGGATATTAGTTGGGACTTAAAAGAAGCCAGAGAAGGCAATAGAGAGGTGAGGAGGAGGGGGACATGATTCTGGGCATGAGGGACATCCAGAGAAAATGCTCACGGTTGAGAAATGGAGTCTGTTAAAACAGCAAGAAGTCCAGTGTTACTTATTGAAGAGTACATGGGAGGCAGAGTTCTGTTCTATAAGGTATAAGAAGACTGGAAGGATTGGGGAAGGGGTACAGGTTTTGAAATGCTTAGAACACCAAAACAAGATTTATAGTTGATCCTGGAGGTGATATGGAGCCACTGAAATGTGTAGCTTTAATAGCTGAATGGAGAAAAACTTGTGGCAGTCAGATCAACCAGGATGCTATTGCTGAAGTCCAGCTGTGAGGTGGTTGGACACTGCATGAGGGGTGGTAACAGTGTCAGAGTAGAGAAGGCAGTATATGCAGGATATGTTAAGAAGGTAAAATCAACAGGCCTTAGCAACAGGTGGGTTAGAGTAAGGGGTCAAGGATGACTCCTAGGTTGTAAGCCTGAATGGCTGGGAGGCTGGTGGAATCTTCAGTAGTAATGGGGAACTTAGAAAGTTAGAAGTCAAAAAGAGGGTAGAGTTTGTGATGGTAATGATGATAAGTTCAGTTTTGGACATGCTGAGTTTAAGACATCCATTTTGAGGTGTTTAATAAGCAGTTGGAGATGTGAGGCTGCAAGTCTTCAGCGAAGTTAGAGTTGTGTAAGTAGATTTGAAAACTATCTGTTTATAGAAGATAATTGAATTCAATAGGACATCTGATGAGATCACTAAGTGAAATAGTTTGGAGGGAGAAGAGTAGAGATTAAGGCCCAGGACTGAGCCCTGTGGGACACCCAACAGCCAAGATTAGTGAGTGTGGCTTGGATGAGGATCCAGCAAAGGAGACTGAGAAGAAGCAGTCCATTAAGTAACAGAAGAACAGGAGCTAGTAATGTCATGAAAACCTAGTAAGAAGAGGCTGTCAAGGAGAAGAGTATGATAACAGTGTGAAAGGCTACAGAAAAGATAAGGATGAAGAGTGAGGAAAGGCCATTCATTGGTTTTGACAATTAAAAGATTGTTAGTAATTTTAGAGAGATCAGTTTTAGTTGAATGAAGTCAGAGGATAGACTTCAGAGGAGAATTAAGAAGAATCAGAGGAAAGAAAGTAGAGGCATCTCTTGCAGGCAGCTTTCACAAGGAGGTTAGCCACAAAAGAGAGAAGAGAGCTAGGGACAATAGCCATTAGTGGTTGGGAAGGATGGACTGAGTGAGGGACTTTTGAGAATGAGGAAGATGTGAGCATGTGTATAGGCAATAGGGAAGCATATAGTAGACAGAGAGATTGAAAATAATTGAGAGGGACCAGTCTGCTGGTGGTGATTGTATAGAATGGGATCACTTATGCATGTACAATGGTTGGCCTTGGCAAGGAGAAGAGCCAACTGTTCAGTGTGAGAAAGGGGTGAAAAAATGGCAGAAGGCATTTGGGTGAAACCTGAGATAAGGAAGAGAGGAGAAGATCTTTCTTCTTTTAAAAGAAATGTCTTTCTCCTTTTTCAACAACAAAAAAAGTGAATGTCCTCGATTTTTATATGAAACAAGTTTCTCAGCCAAGAGAATCAGGGAGGGGGAGAGGTTTTTGGAGGATAAAAGGTTTTGGAAGAGCTCTTGTGATGGGTGGAATACTAAGTTAATTAAGGAAGTATAAAAGGATTTCCTTGCTTCACTGAGGACCTAGTTGAAGTTACACAGCATAAATTTGTGGTGGACTCCTTCAGCAGGGTTTAATCTTTATCCAGCTTCACTCAGTAGCACATGTGTAGGAGCAGATGCAGCCAGTGATGAGAGTGATTCAAAGAATCAGTCAGTACCTGGTACTGGTACATTGGTACATTGTACTTGGACCTTATTATCTTAGCATTCTACAGAAATGCATTCACTGAGTGAGGACTGATTTTGTCTAAAAAATGGCCATTTGAACAATATTTCTGACTTTTACAAAACCATGCTTGAAAACAGTGACCATTATTGGTGCCCACTGTCCCTTTTATCATATCGTAAATAACTCGTTTAATTTAGTACCATGAAAAAATTGTCCTTTAAGACAAATTTCTTTGCTCACCTTATCACTTATTTATAAGACTTTATAAATTAAATTATCTCCCTTAGCTATTAGGAAATAGGTAAGTTTAGCACTTAATTGCAGTAATTTATCATTTACATTACCTGCTCAGATCTATTTCTGTGCACCTTTCCTTTGCCTTTGTTTAATTTTTCTTTTAATTGATTTATTTTGTATTTTATTAAGCGTTTTTCGATTTTTTTTGGAAGTGAGCCTATAAATCCTAAATAAATGATTTGCTTGACATCCCCCTAACAAGGAAATCAAAGAACTAGAACGTGTTCTCTTGCAAATAAGGTTTCATTATATTTCAGCATTTTTGGTTATACTGGCTAGTCCAATTTAGAACTCAGAAGGAACAAATAAACATTTGCTCCATATAATTCCAGTTTTTCTTAATAAAAAACTTATGGTGGACAATTAGTCATCTTTATGTACAAAAGATAGTATAAATATCTAAGATTCTTAGTTTTCCAACTGTGATTAACTAAGCCAAGCTCTGATAAAAGAGGATTTTTGCTATTTCTTAGGTGTTTTTTTTTTAATATGTAATTATATTAGCTTATTATTTGCTTTTGAACTATCTGGTATAGTGCAAAGAAGAGCACTGAATTTGGAGTTAGAGGCTGCCAGTATAAAACCTGGTTCTGCCCCTAAGAGTACTACTACCTGCATGACTTTGTGAAGTCACTTCACTGCTTGATCATTTTTCTCATTTGTAAAATGAGGATTTGCTCTAAGTGACCCCTAAATCCTTCCAGCTTGCAAATCTGTGATCTGTTCTCTTTTTCCCACTCCCACTTGGAATGTATTTTGTGAAAACTGGTAAGCTTATTTTCACATGTAGATTTAGATAAACTTTATATGATAAGGCCAATTAGATCTGTGAACAAGTAGATAAAGATAAAAGTTGACTTTTAAAAATTATATTTGTTCCAAAATTTCCAGTTTTTTCTTTCTCTTTGGTGGTCGTGATAGGGGTTAAAGCTGAGTAGGAGCATTTGGGGTAGCTGGGCCTTTACATATTGAGTCACAGAAAAAAAAAATTGAGTATTAGTGATATAACAGAATTTGTAATTCTGTATTTATTTTCCAGTTTTCAAGAATATTAGACATAGCCAAATTATTATAGTCATTTTACTAATATAATCATTTAATTGGTCATGAAGCTGATGGTAAGTTTCTAGCTATCTATGTCTTGACTTCTCAAAACTGCCATTTTTACTCACATTCTTAATTTTAAGAAACAAGGTACTTAGTCATCTGACAATAAGTCTTCATTTATTCTCTTCAGATGTGTGATACTGAGTGCCCAAGTAAAAATTTTCAGTGTATTATTGAAAAAATTTTCAGTTCATTACTTCCAGATATGTCAGCTGGAATCTGTCCTGTTCTTTTAAAATGATCTCTTGCTTATTGTGAAATTGTTTCTTGTAGTAGTAGTTTTTTCACCCTTTTTTGATTCTTATTACTTTTAATTGGAGATAGGTCTGAGGATTGTTAGAGAAAGTTGATTGCCATACTAGGGGACCTAGATTCTTTTGTTAGCATAACTGCTGACTCATCTATGACCTTGAAAATGGAATTTCATTTTTTTGGTCTTATTTCCTTTTCAGGAGTGTTGTAAGATTGAATAAAATGTATTTAAAAGATTTTTTAATTGTCTTGGAGAAATATGCTATATAACTAAAGTTAGAATGACAAAGTTTCAGTTTCCTTTTAAAATATGTAGTAGCTCTTTAAGCTATCTAATTGATTTTTTCCCCTCTAATTAGAGTTGTAAAACTCAACTATCTCTCACAGTATCACATATATATGTATATATTTTTTTTGATTCTCAGGAATGCCAAAAAAAATTGGCAAAGAATTCAAGAGCATTTCTTTTTTGCAACATTTCATCCACTTAAGGATTATAGCCTAGAGGTAAGCATAGAATAGCATTCTAAAATTTTATTTGCTGTGCTCTTAACACTAACATTTTCTTCTTTTGTTGTCATGATTATTGAGGGGAAATAGGTTAAATTTTTTCCCCCCTGTTTACAAGCATCATCTTAGATTTTAAAGTTCTGTTAACCTTATTTCTTGTCATTTTGTAGATGACTTGCTTGCACATCACTCTTTAGTAGAGAAAATTGGCTAGTTATTTTCAATTTCTGTTTCTTAGGTAGTTTCTGGCTTGTAAATACTGGAAGGGAATATTTAACTCTAAACAGAAATCTGTTCTGACATTAAAAGGAAATGAGTTAAAACATTTGTGCAGGTGAGATTTTGTTGTAATCAAGCCCATTATGATGAAAGAACATAGAGTTCCATCCTTTTTTAAAACTATGCTTCTGTTTCTGGTTGGCTGAAATTCTAGAGCAAAAATTCTGTATAGCAAATTATTTGGTAGTTGTGGAATTTTGTTTATAATTTTAAAAACAGTAACACCCCCCTCCAACATTTTTCTTGAAAACAGACAAATGACAGCACAGTACGAAACATCAGAAAATTATATAAACTATATGACTTTTCTGATTTTGAAAACTGTAATAGTAATACTCTAGTTTTGAATTTTAAACCTCCTGCTTTTATATTTTACTTTAAATAGTTCAAAAGTATCTATAACTTTAAGTATCTAAAAATGCTATTTATTTAATAAGTTTGTAGATTTACATTATTTATTGTTTGCCCATATTTTTAAATTCACCAATATGTGCTAGGGTCTGTACTTTGGATTTTAATTATTGGAAATATTGACCCAATTTTAGTTCTGTTATTAAAAATAGGAAGCATTTATTTAAAAAAAAAACCCAACATTCTCTGCTCTATGTTCTTTCAAGTTCACAATGCTTTGACATCTTTCTGAAGGATTCACTTTATCACTACGTATTAATTGTCTTTTGTCAACATTCTTGTGGCCTGGTAGGATTAAATCCCTTGTTTATCTTTCTTTGACCCTTTTCTCCTACAATCTCATGTTCTTTTCCTTCTCCTTCCATTACTCACATGAATTCAGTAAGTTAAATGTCTATATAATGAGTACTGTTAGATGTCAAAGTATAAAAATGATTCTCTTCTTCCCCCCCACTCCCCAAGAAAAAGAGGAAGGGATATAATGGATGGGGAAATGAAATATAAATAAACTAGTTTTTTATTAAATATTCAAACTAGTTTTTTATTAAATGTTCTCTGTATTTGTTTGTGTTTTAGGACATTTTAAATCTTTTATGTTCTCTGTATTTGTTTGTGTGTTAGGACATTTTAAATCTTAAGTCTTTTGAGGACGGGGGCTGTTTTTATATATCTAAGTTAGTGTTTAGTATTTTGGGTGCTTAATAAATGGTAAATAATAATAATAATTATGCCAAGTAGAACTTCCACAAGTTCAGTACCTGTGAATAATGGCATGTTAAAGCATATGATGGCTTAAATAGTTTGAATTTTACCTATGTAATTTTAAAGCAAATGAGGATTGTATTTGCTAAGTAGAAATGTTACTTTATTAGTCTTTCATATAATACAACAAATTGTTATTAAGAAAATTGTTTTTTCACTGTTGGGTTTTATTTTTCCCCTGTGCAAAGTACCGTTAGTTTTCAGTAATTCAGAAATTTATTGTTTATGTATTATCCGTGACCTTTCCTCTGCTTCTTATTTTGCCATTTCATGGCTTTACTTAGGCCTCTTTCAGAAGGGGAAGAGGAGGAGAAAGACCTTTTTTTATATTATTCATTATGGTAAAAGATTTGGTGAAGAAAGAACTTAAAACTAATAGCTTAACTGAAGCTTTTATATTTACTGCATTAGAAACTTTTAGAAATTGAAAAAAGAAGTTTAAGACATAGTCCTTATCCTCAAGTAATTTATGATGTACTTACAGAGCACAAGACATACATATAGAACATAATTAGAGAATAAATAAGGCTAAAATTGTATATGTTCTATGTGTGTGTATATGTTTATAGTATGCTTATAGTCTGGCATACTATATAGTTAATTAAGTTGACCGTATGGAAATTCATAGAACTATTTATTGTGCCTTCTATTTGTTTGCTTAAGGAAAGAAATTAAAATTTGTGAACAAAATTTGTCTTTTCAGACTATATTTTATACCCTTCCACGCCTTTCAGAACTGGTTGAAGATGAGTGGATCACCATTGGTAAATTCACAAAATTCACTGACATTCCGATAGATTCAGCATTTCAGTGGTACCTTTCTCAAACTGAACTTTGTGAACTAAAACCAAGTGACTGGTCTCAGGAAGATATAGGTAAAATGTGGTTATTTTTGTCTTCTTTTTACTGTTGTTTTGGCTCCATCTTAGTGATTTTAATTAATAAATGTACCTGAATTTTTTTCACCTTACTATATGCCAGTGAATTTTAATCTTCTACTTAGAGAAAAACTATTTAAGGTAGATCTGTGAATTTTAGTAAACAGGGAATCTGTAATGTCACAACCTATAAGTGGAACCCTTCACTGTTCAGTTAAACTCATTGGCTTTTATTTGAAAAATTGTTATAATTTGACATTCATTGAGGGCCTGTAACATGATAAAGTATCAAAGGTAGGTTTAGGAGTAATTCCTACCGTACCATCTAAATTATATAGAGCAGTAAATCAGTAAGTCAAAACAGAAAGTTAACAGCAATGTGAGCAGAGAGACACTGGAACGCATGATAAGACACATTTGTATGTACACAGATGCCTGTATACATACACGTACACATACATATATGTATATGTGTATAAACTTTGTAATCATAAAAATGCTTTATAATGGTAAGTTATATTCAAGAAAGTTCATTTCTGTGGGCTCCTGTCTGAAAGAATGAACTACTTCCTGAAGACTTTTCCAGCTTTGCTTCTTTATTCTAACCTTGCGCGCTAAAATATTATAACAGGACAGTTTAAAGACAATAGACATGTCCTGCTTTAATAAAATCTATATAAAACATTTGAATATAACCTATACAATGGATGATTTATATTTCAAAAGATTCTTTATTGAGCAAAGGGGTCTATTGTGTTCTTAAGTAGCAGATTATCTAAGTATGTTTAAAATGATGATTTATAAGAACCTTTTCCAGGACACATTAAGTAAAGTACACCTGTATTTAGAGGCATGTTGAATTAATGTTAAAAATACAACTCTGATAAACTATTGGTATCTTTTGGTTTAACATAACCTGCATTTCCCAGTGTGCCCCCTCACTTTTCCCTTCCCAGAGATCTGTCCCTTAAAACTAAAAACAAAAAAAGAGGGGAAATGTTAACTTAAGCATTGACTTAAAAAACGAATGAACTAACAAAACATTTAAAAATATATTTTTATTTCGTTACATATTTTCCAATTTTGTGCAAAAAAATTTTTAACATTCATTTTAAAAAATTTTGAGTTCTAAATTCTCTTTCAGTTGCCCTCCCCACACCCTTCCTTGAGAGGACAAGCAAATACATTGATTATACATGTGAAGTCATATAAAACATATTTCCATATTAGCCATGTTGCAAAAGAAAACATCCCCCCAAAAAAGCTTCAAGAAAAATAAATTTTAAAAAGTTATGCTTCAGTCTGCATTCAGAGTTCAGCAGCTCTCTGTCTCTGGAGGGAACTTTGGAATTTTCTTTGAATGTTGTCTTGATCAGAGTAGCTAAGTCACAGTTGCGCATCCTTACAATATTGCTGTAACTGTGAACAATGTTCCCCTGGTTCTTCTGCTCACTTCTCTTTGCATCAGTTTCTGGCCAGGTTTTTTTTTTAAACCACCCTGCTTGTCATTTCTTATAGTATAGTAGTTTTCTGTCACAATCATCTACCACAACTTGTTCAGCCATTCCTCAATTGATGGGCATTTCCTTAATTTCCAGTTCTTTGCAAGCTGCTATATTTTTGTAAAAATAGGTCTTTTTCTATTTATTTATTTTTTTTTAATCTCTTTGCAGTACAGTTTATGCAGTTTGGACATAATTCCAAATTGTTCTCCAGAATGGTCGAACCAGTTCACAACTCTACCAACAGCACAATTAACAAAAGACATAGAAAAAGTTTGATGTTATATATAGTGTGCCACACCCATATTCCCCCCTTTCTTTGCCAAGAAAAAAGTTGGCTTCTTACTCTTTTCTTTAGAGCTAAGCTTGATCATTATAATTTCATGGCTTTCTTTTTCATTTGTTTTATTGTTATTATTTCCTTTTATGTTGTGGTCATTGTGTATGGTTTTTCTGCTTCTGTTTACTTCACTTGTATCAGTTCATAGAAGTATACTCGTACTTCTATGTAGTCATTAGTTTACTGTTTTTTACAATACAGTATTTCATTGCCTAAATCTTCCTCAACTTGTTTAGCCTTTCCCCAGTATAGAGGGACCTACTTTGTGTCGAATTCCTTGCTACTGCAAGAGCTGCTATTTTGATGTATATGCCTCGCAGTGAAATCTCTGAGTCAAAGGGTATGGATGTTTTAGTTATTTTCTTTACATAAAGTCTTCCAGACTGTTTTGCAGTTTTCCTAGAAGTCTTTGTCAATTAGGAGGGTCCTTCTCAGGTAATTTATGTTTTCTGGTTTGTCATACACTGGGTTATTACGTTAAATTAATTTTTATTCTTAATTTTTTAGGCTATTTCATTATTCTTTTTCTTTAAAGCAGTACCAAATGGTTTTGATGATTATTGATTAATAAAATAGTTGGAGGTCTGGAAGTGATATCACCCCTTCAGTTTTCCTTTTAAGAATTATTTTCTTTTATCTTCTTGTTCCTCCAAATATATTTTGTCATTATTTTGTCTAACTATAAAATATACCTATTGGCAAAGCACTAAATACGGACATCAATTTAGGGACTGTTGTCATTGAATATCCTGCCAGTTATTTAAGTTCATTTCTTTAAGGAATAGGTTGTGATTGTATTCATACAAGTATTGAGTATACTCTGTTAAATTGATTCATATATATATTTTTTTCTTGAATGGGACTTACCTTTCAATTATTCCCTTTCATTGCTATATGGAAATGTTCATTTTTTTTGTGGGCTTATTTTGTATATTATTATTTTACTGAAGCTGTTGAGTTAGTTTCTTTGCTGATTTCCTGGGATTTCCTAAGTAAACCATCATATTATCAGATATCTTTAGGCCTTTTATTTCTCTTGTCTTTTTGCTATTGCTCATGTTTTTAGAACCACATCAGATAACATAAGGGAAAGGGAGTGTTCTTGCTTTATTTCTACATTTATTGGGAAAGCTTTTAGTATTTCTCCAATGCATAGAAGGCTAGCTTTCAGTTTTAGGTACCTTTTATCATATTAAAAAATGTCTTTCCATGAGTATGCATTGCAGGTTCAATAGCATAAATGTATTGTACCTTGTCAAAGGCTTTTTTTTCTTTTGCATTGTATTCATGGTTATGTGGTTATGTGGTTTTTGTATTTCTTAAAATATAATAGCATTGTTTCCCTAATTTTGAACCATCCTTGCATCTCCACTATAAATCCATCTTGATCAGATCTAGTGAATGATTTTTTAAAAATAAATTGCTGCAACTTTTTGCTAGGATTTTATTCTAAAAATTTCAATTAATATTCATTAATGATATTGGTTCAGACAATTATTTTGGATCATCTTGATTTTTTTCTCCTCAGGTTCCAACTCAGTTGAGGGAGACAGCCAATCAGAATGGATTGATGTTCAAAAGAAGATGATCCCTTGGAAAAATAATGTTCTTGATTTAGGACTTGATTTGGTATTTCAGGATCGTGCTGCTAAACTTGGAAAATCCATTAGTAGATTGATTGTAGTAGCTTCACTAATTGATAAGCCAACCAATTTAGGAGGTAATATCATAGTTTTATAGATAGATTTCTTGACTCTCTCATCCCTGGCAATTTTTACTAAATTATAAAATTTTTACTGGCTCTTGTCACATTTACCAGCATTATAAAATGATACATTTGATATCTTTATAATATATGGATTTCTGCTCCTTGAGAGAAAGGAAAAGATGAAGAATAACCTCTTAATTCAGTAATTGTACTATGCTTTTGTATTGTTTAAATTAAAATATTTATCCTAGTCTGTTAAAGCATTTTCAAAAGAGTCAGACAAGTCAGTGATTATAAAAGCAAGAAGCCTTTATTTGGTATGGTTGACCCTCAACAAAGAAAAGTTTGTGGCTTAAGGTAGAAACACAGAAGTTATCATAGGGCAGCAACGGAAAGATACAGAGTGGTTGCTGGATGCCACATTATCCCCTGTGTTTCCCACCTCTGATATGACAGGCAGGGAGGTGCCAGTTACTAAGGTGGCATAGGGGAAGGAAGTTTCCACATGCAAATTTCAGAAAAGAGTTTTATCTAAAACAGAAAGCTTGTTACTAGAAAGACTAGGTCTAAGGAAGACTAATAAGCAGACTAAACTCAACATATCCAAGGGAGAATTCATTACTTTTCTTCCTAAACCCACCCTCCACTTAATTTTCCTATTTCTGTTGAGGGGACTACTCTCCTTCCAGTTGCCTAAGTTCAGAACTTAGGAGTTGTTCTTGATTCCCCACTCACTCACCTTTATATCCAGTCAGTAGTCATCTTCTGTCTTCCGCCACTGTAGCATCTCTCCTATCTGAGACACCAGAACTCCCCTAATCTAGGCTCTCACCAGCTCTCACTTGCACTAGTGCAACAGCTTCCTGATTGATCTCCCTGCTTCAAGTCTGTCTCCTCTATAATCCTGTACTCATTTGCCAAATTGGTCTGTTTTAGAGAACAGGTCTCATAGTGTCACTCGGCTGTTTAAAAAAACTTCAGTGGCTACCTTATTTCCTTTATGTTTGAAACAGAATCTGTGGCACATAACTCTTCGTAATCCACTTTTTTTCCCTGGCTGATTACACATTACTCCCCCTTACACACTTCACAGTTGAGCCACGTTGTCCTGTTATTGTCCCCTATACATGAGATCTCATGTCCTGTCTAAGGGGCTGGATCCATGCCTGGAATGCTCTCCTTCCTCAGCTCTGCTTATTGGAACCCATAAATCTCTTGAAAGCTTATTACATATGCATCCTTGTCAATCCTTTCATCATTCTCCCTGTTGTTGGTCTCCCTACAACCCCACCACGGGGTGTTTATTTTGTATATCGTCTGTACTTACTCCTTGTACCCCGCCCCCCATTGAATGTTAACTCCCTAAGGACAGGGGCTGTTTTGCTTTTTTGTTTGTATCCTAGCATTTTGCATGGTAGTACATATAATAGCACATAGTAGGCACTTGAATGCATGACTGAAAAATAGATAGGATTATGGTGGGCTTTTTGGGCTACCACAATATAACAGGTAGTATGTCTCAATTTATCTTTCCCTGTTACTTATAAAGAGTATCTTTCAGCCTCCCTGGAAAATATAAAAAGAATATTTGACTATAATTTTACTTCTTCCTTGTTGATAGCGTAGCTTAATTAGAAACTTTTTCTTCCCCAATTTAATTCTTGTTTTTCATAAGTCACAGACTTTAAAATATTTGTCATCCCAATTTCTCCACTAAAGTTCTCATCATGATGTGAAAATAACCCAAGGTCCTCAAGCACTATGCTAGTAGAATGAAGGCCCCACCAACCTTTAAAGGCTTCAGATAAGCACCTAGGGACCAGTCAATCTATCTGCCAAGATCTGTGCTAGGTCTTAGAGATACAAGTGAAAAGAATGAAACTTCCTGTTCGCAATGAGCTTACATTCTAGTATAGAGATCAGTTCATGTTAAAATATAAAGTTAATAAAAGTATTTAAATATAATAAGGTGGTTTGAGAGAGGATGTTGTGATCAGAAAAAGCTTCATGCAGAAGATAGTACCTGAACTGTATCTTAAAGGAAGACAGTATACTTAGAGAGGTCTGGGTAAGAAAGGAGTGCATTCCAGGCAAGGGGGGCAGCCAGTGTAAAGGCAAGATAAGAGATGGAGTGTATTGAGTGAAGAAGGGAGAGGGCTGGTTTGGCTGGATTGCAGAGTATGAGGACTAATGTCCAATAAGGCTAGAAAGATAGCTAAGCAGAGAAGTTTATTTTTCATCCTAGAGGCAGTAGGCGGTCTCTGGACTTGATTGAATCCCAGGGCATCACGTTGTCAGATCTATGGTTAAGGAAAATCACCTTGGTAGCAGTGTATAGGATGAACTAGAAAGATGAAAGACTTAAGGCATGGAGACCAATTAGGAGGCCTTAGGTGAGACATACTGAAGACCTGAACTAAGGGTAGCTGTGTGAATGGAGGGAAGAGTTTGGATGCAAGAAATGTTATGAAGGTAGAAATAAGACCTGGCAGTTTATTGGTCAGGAAGGGTGATGGAAAGTGAGGAGTCCTGATTAATGCTGAGATCCAGAATCTGAGACACTAGAATGATGGTGAGTGATGTCTTTGACAGATATAGGCAAGTTTAGAAGGAGAGGGTTTAAAGGGAAAGAGTATTCAGTTTTTAGACATGTATCTGCTAAGGTTAAAGAGAGGTTCATCATCAGCTTGGCTACAGGGTGATAAATTTTTTGGCCACAGCAAGTCTCAAAGACCAGCTTCTAATATACTTATGGTTAAGTATCCATCTACGTTATTCATATAGGCAGATTACAAATTTATAAAGTATTAAAGTCTGCGTAAGCTTAATGTTATAAAGGGAAATACACAATTTTTACATTGTTTTTAATTTGGTTTTATAGGTTTGTGCCGGACCTGTGAAATATTTGGGGCCTCAGCTCTAGTAGTAGGAAGTCTTCATTATATCAGTGATAAGCAGTTTCAGCATCTCAGTGTTTCTGCAGAACAGTGGCTTCCTCTGGTGGAGGTGAGTAAAAAAGTAATTTACTGTGTAATTATCTTATTTAGAAATGTTTTATAGAGTTCTTTTCTTTTTAAAATAGCATTTCTGTGGAAATTTTACAGTAAGCCAACCTTAAAATATCCCATAGGAGAGAGTCACCACTTAGTTCCTCCTCCCTCATTTATTGTTGTATTTTTATTAGCTCCAATGTGGTCTTACTGAAGTGACCCAATAATCTTATTATAAGTCAGACTCATTGTATTGCTATTCATTTTTACATGTTAGTAAATTTAATGAACAAAATGTGACTTACATATGGTATTTTTCTATAAGGTGTGTTAGTTTTTCGTCTTGAGAATTTTTTATGCTAAAACTTGTTTCTTGAAATTTTTCTGGTATTAATTTTTCTCTAAGAAAGGCTATAGGTCAGGGGCAGCTAGGTGGCGCAGTGGATAGAGCACTGGCCCTGAAGTCAGGAGGACCTGAGTTCAAATTCGACCTCAGACCAAACACTTGACACGTACTAGCTGTGTGACCTTGGGCAAGTCACTTAACCCCAATTGCCTCACCAAAAAAAAAAAAAAAAAAAGGCTATAGGTGAAATTTTCTAATGTTTGAATTCTTCACTCATTTTTTAAATTTTTAGGTAAAACCACTTCAGCTTGTTGATTACTTACAGAAGAAAAAAACAGAAGGCTATACTACCATAGGTGTGGAACAAACTGCCAAAAGTTCAGACTTAACAGAATATTGTTTTCCTGAGAAATCTCTGCTCTTACTAGGGTAATTTCCTTTTGTCTAGTACTTTTTTTTTTCCCCCCAATAAGTTGAATAAATTACTATTTACCTAAATGATAGTGACATCCGAGTTAGCTTTTCTGTGGTGTCATATGGCATTTACTTAGATCTGTTCAAAATAGGAAGTCTCACTCATTGGCCAGTGGTTATGTGCTTGCAGAAGGGTTTTTTTTTTCCGTTATCCTCATAATTTTTGACTTTGCATAGAACATGAACTTGGGACTGCTTGTATTTTATTATAAGTGCTTTTGGGTCCTTTTATTACTTTTCTTGCATGCCCATGTTAAAATTTAGTATTCTGGTTTCATTATTGACTATATGAAAAGCTGCCTTTGTTTCCTTTTCTCCTCATCAGAAATGAACGTGAGGGAATCCCAGCAAACCTGATTCAGCATTTGGATGTGTGTGTGGAAATTCCTCAACATGGCATCATACGCTCCCTTAATGTTCATGTGAGTGGAGCTTTACTAATTTGGGAGTATACTAGGCAACAGATAATCAAGCAAAGAGATATAAAGTAATTACAAAAATATAAAATTTTTTGCCTTATCTGAACTTAATGGTGCTGTTGAGGTATATTTTTAAACTCTATATGCACTTAAGGAATAGGCTAAACTTTTATTGAGGATAATTTTGTATTAAGTTTTTTGTGGTATATTTATTTGACTTGTTTAAAATATTAAATATAACTTTGAAATAAGTAACTTTGGGTACTGTATTCTTCAACAAAAATCATGGTTCTATCATTCATATTTCATTTCAAGAAATATTTATTAAGCTCTTCCAGACATGTTCAGAGCCCTGTTCTAACAAAGTGGGTGATACTAATAAGAAAGTTTAGATGGTCCTTACCCTCACAGAGCTTACCATCTATTACATTGACACATCATTTATAGAGATGGCTAGAATACAAAACACATGATGCCTATATGAGAGGTTCGAAAAGTGCTATATAAAGTCTTGGGGATAGTCATCAATCATTACTATTTAAGTCAGAATCCAACCAGTAAAGGATATCAAGGTATCGAATATGGAGGGTAGAGATGAATTAAAGTATAATTAATGAGAAGCTGTATGGAATCTTTTTTTTTTTTTTTGCTTTTTGGTGAGGCAATTGGGGTTAAGTGACTTGCCCAGGGTCACACAGCTAGTAAGTGGTAAGTGTCTGAAGCTGGATTTGAACTCGGGTCCTCCTGACTCCAAGGCCAGAGCTCTATTCACTGCACTTTAGCTGCCCCATGTATGGAATGTTTATATAGCTGTGTGTGGTATGCTGGATTGAGAGTCAGGGAACCTGGGTTCAAATTCTACCTCTGGGCCTCCATTCCCTCATCTGTTAAATGAAGGATTTGGACTAGATTACTTCTAAAGTTCCTTTAGCCTCTAGTTCTTTAATCATTTGCTTTTCATAATAGCCATGGGAGATGGGCAGGGTGGAAGATCTCCCACCCAGTTTTCTGGATAAAGAAACCTAGCTTCAGAGAATAAAATGCAAGGTCCAGTGAGTAGTGGTAGTAGTAGAATTAAAATCTTAGCCTTCTGATGCCTAGTGTTTTCTATTAGGCCTTAAAAGGTATTATATTCTAATCTGGAACTTAACATTTTAAAAAATGAATGCTAAAAATTGGTTTTACATGTAACTGGAAAAAATTAAAACATTATTTAAAAAAGGTATTACATTGAAAAGGTAAAAGTAGTCTCTGTGCCCAGTTATCCTTTGATGACTGCTTCTGAAAACAGAGGTGAGAGTAAGAATAGAGGTATATAAATCAACAGAGTAAGCTTGCTGATATATTTTCTCAAGTTTATCATGACGATCGTCAAACATTTCTGTTCTATAAATGCAGAAATGTGGCAGTTATGGAACTAGAAATAAAAGCAATGTGACCCCAGGTTATGACCTCAATTTATATTTTCTTAAAGAGACTACATTATCTACAAATTAACTGTTTATTAACCATCACATGTAGCAAAATACTTAGTTTTACTCGAATATAAACTCTGTCCCCTTGAAATTTTATATCATATCTTACAATGTTTGCTTTCAAGTTTTTGAATTTCAGTGAAGTAAAATGTTGATGCCATATATAAACACTTAAAAGTATCAATTCTAAAAACTTCTTTTACCAAATTCAAATGTGGTTCTCATCTGGAAAAGAAAAAAAAATCACTTTTATGTTTACTTAACTTTGTGTTATGAAAATGAACAATAAAACCAACTTCCACAATATAAATTAGGTGTTCTATACCACTTTATTCAAGTTATTCACTGGATGAATCAGATATTCTAACCCTGTTGGATTCTTGATCATTTCTAGTACTGTTGAGAGCAGGAGAGCTGTGCTGACAGTGAGTCCGATCTGTCATACTTCATAATTCAGGCAGTCTGGTATTCAAAGGAATATTTAATGATGTCCACAAAGAAGTCTCAGTATTGTTAAAAAAAAAAATTTTTTTAAACAAAGAGCTATGATGTTGCTGTTCTTTCTGAAGGCTCAAATTGTCCCGCTTCAAACTTTTCTTTGAACTTTAAGTAATCTCTTCTTTTATCAAAGTATTTAATCTATTAAAAAGAAAACACAATTAAGGGAGACAAAGTAAAAAAGGACACCATGGCAACATAAGAGCAAAGATTTAAAAGAGTCAATAAATTGAATCATTATCTGAACATGTTTCTACAGTATGTACATATGTCGGAAACAAGATTTAGAGCTGGAAGCAAGCTTAATAATTATGCTAAATCAGTATGAGTTGATGGGAAATTTTTCTTAAAATAAAAATATTAAGATTTCATTAAAAACTATGAATATGGTTAAGCTTTTTAAATTTAAAGCAGCCTACAATAAGGCAGAATTATAAATAAATATGACTTTAAAAAGTTAAGTAGGGTTGAGAACCAAAATGCCTTTTGGAAAATGCATGGACACTAAGAAAGTGCATGTTTCTACCCACTTAGAAAAAAAGAGAAAACCTGAATTGATATAATTCAAAGTTATTAATGTGTACAAATACTATCTAATTTTATATACACTATCTTCTCACAAAATAGAGAAACAGATGTCATTCTTACAACTTAATTGCTATTAAAATTACTGGTTTTAAAACTTGCTGATTTTTGGGTTGCTTTCTTTTACACTAAAGTGACTACTTTAAATCATTAGTATGAGTACATTAAATAAATTTTTTTATATAAAACGCACTTCATTTTGTATAAGCTTCACTGTGACATAGAGGTGACTCTGGGCTCTTGAAGATAATACTAATAGTGAAAATTTGGCAATGCTTCCCAAGCTAGAAAAAGCTACCAGTGGAGAACAGGCTATGGCAGGGCCTCCCATTGTGTAAAGGCTTCAAATGTGAATGTGGTGAAGGGATTTGAGAAGGTGGGTATCTCATCCACCGTGACCACCATGCCCCATTCCCTCGTTATTACAGATGGAGAAATTGAGGCCCAAAGAGGTTAAGTTCCAAAAGTTACAAAGTTGGCAAAACTGGTTTTTGAACCCAAGTCCTCTGATTGCAATTCCAATTTTTTTTTTCTACTCCATCAGTGCCTCTCATGGAACTATCACAGACACTTCACAAAAGCACAGAGTTCCTTGTTTGCAAAATGTTTCAGACTTTCTTCAAAAGGCTATAAATGTATTTACATGTTAGATACCATGTGCTCAGGATTACAACAATCCTACTATGCCATTAACACATGAGAAAGAGGAATTCAGAGAACTGTAACAACTAGAACAATAAACACAATGACTACAATGATGCAAACAAAACCAGAAGGCGACCAAACTAATTAATTGCAATAACCAATCTTGGTCCTAGACAACAGATGAAGAAGCACAATTCTACCTCAGTAAAGAATTAAGACACCAGTTACAGAATGCTGCATATATCATACTCAATTTGTCAAATGGTTTTGTTTAACTGCTTTCCTTGGTTATTTATACAGGAGGGTATGTTGGGAAATGACTGGTATAACAAACAGCATATATATAGGTTTTAGGGTTTGCAGAACATTTAATGTTTTATTCTTGCATCAGGCCTAGGAGGTAGGTGCTATAGTTATCTCCATATTACAGATGAGGGAACTGAGGCAGACAGGGTAAATGACTTTCCTAGGGTAGCTAATAAATATCAGCTAATAAATATCTGAGGCTAAATTTCAGATTTTCATGACTCCAGACCCAGTACTTGTTCTATCCCCTGGCCCATCTAGCTACCTATAAAAACAAAACAGCTGTAATAAAGGTCAACATGATATAATGGAAAGATCACCGGATTAGGAATTAGAACTATCTGGGATTACCATGAAGTTAGTGAGTGACCTTGGGCAAACTCTTCAGCCCTTTGAGCCTGAGCTTCCCTAGGTTCAAAATAAGGGGGCTGCACTGATGACTTCTTGCTAAGGTCTCTTCCAAGAGTAAAATACCAGTTTTTTTTTAATGGTTTTAATAGTTACTGGGACTGAAGCTATTTATTATTTAACTGCTATTGGGAATTCCCAGATGAAGAAACTCATATGCCGGTTGGTACTTTTTCTAGGCTTAAGAGCTGCCTCTAGTGCTGTGACTTCCCAGGGTCAACACAGCTAGTCTAGGTTAAAGGTAGAACTTGAACCAAGGATTTTCTGGCCCTAAGGCTGGCTCTGTAAACTATGCAATACTGTTTTCAATAACATGACATCTGTTTATAGAGGGAGTTTTTTCCCTTTCATTAAAAAACATTTTAATAACAACCTCAAATGGCAATTTCTATTTTAAAATAAGATTAAAAAAAATAACTCATTGATTTTTATCTGTCCTGACAAAACTATAGGCAGAACTGACATGAACTAACAAGTATATAGTGTTTGTTCAACAGGAAATCTGTAAGAAGAAACTGTGCATATATGACACACTCTTTTGATCATACCTCATCGCCCCACTATACTTTGCCTTAACCACAGTTGTCCCTTCCACATTGCCAGAGCATGGCACCCCAACAATCTGGAAAATCCGTATAAAAGTTTTTGGACCTCCTTTCATACCCAAGAATAAGTCTGAATTTCTTTTCTTTTTTTTTTTGGTGGGGGGGAGAGGGGGTGTTACAGTACCTTACTGTAAAATTTGGGCTAAGTATTTGGTCATAGGCTATATTATACAATACTATACATATATTTAATGCATTTCTGAGTTTCTAAACTTTTTTGTGTCATCTGCAGCTTCCACAAAACTCCCAAAAAATTCCATTTAATTTCTTATGCTGGCCCACAATATATCAAAACCAAAATGGGGAAAGTCACAATGTGAAAGGGATAATTATATTATCTCTAATCTTTCTACTCCATTTTTAAACTTACCTTCTTTCCCAATCTTGATCACACAGTTAATGAAATTCAATTTCATACCATAGGCTCTTGAATCCCTTATCTCATCCCCCAATTCTCAACTCTTGCCAAACCTCAACCCTGAATAACTCCTATAATCTACCTTTTCCCTCCTACTTACATTCTGCTGAACAGAGTTGGAAGAAGTCTAACAACCAAGCTGACTAGGTACACTACAAATTGATGTCACCTCACTTCAGCTGAGTCTTCTCTGAAGCAAGGCCTCTCTCTATTCCTCCCTAACTGATTCTCTTTACAACTCATAGAGGCTGTTCTGAACCTTCTCTTCTTTCCTCAAGCATCCTATACCTTTCCCTACTCCCACCCTCTCAGCTGAGGACCTGACTTATTAATTTACTGAGAAAACTGACCAGGGCCTATCTCTTCATCTTAAAACCCCTCAATGTAATCCCCCTCTGTCTTCCTTCATTACAATCTCTAATAATGAGGTGGCTCTTCATATCCTCTGTTTACTTATTCTTCTCAGGCACTTCAAAGACTGGAAGATGCAGAAAAGATCTGCACTGGTAGAAGTTCATCACTGGGAGCTCTCTCTACCAATGGGAGGAAGGAGCTACAGCTGGAAGTTTGTGAAAATGAAGTTGTAATTCATTTCTATTCCAGTTCACAAATGTGCCCCGGGGGGTGGGTGGGGAGGTCCTCCTCCAACTCTTATCTACAGGACTCCCCCTCCCCTAATAGCATCAAGGTTAAGAACATCTGTTCTATATACACCCTTTTCTCTAGGCTTTCATGACATTATTTGTCTGGTTCTTCCCCTACCTGTCCAATTATTTGCCAAACCTTGGTTCTAATACCACCATAACTCTTGAGTCTGTCCCTTCTTATTCACACAATCAACAATCTTAGTTGAAGCCCTTATCAACTTTCCCTTGGGTTCTTGCTCCTAGTTGTTTCCTCTCCCTCATCTCTCCCCTCTACAGTAAAGATCTTACTATGTCACTCCCTCCAGTAGCTATCTATTGCTTCTAGGATCAAAGAGAAACCTGTCTAGCTTTCTGAAGCCCTTCATAATCTGTCTTCAACCAACCTCCTAAGTCTCAAATTTTACTTCCCTTTCCACAAGGTAGTCCACCCAAACTGACCTTATCTCTGCTGGTCACATGCTAGCCTCAATCTGCCATCTATATGTATTAGCACTTGCCATTTCCCTTGCCATTAGAAGGTACTCCTCCCTCCTCACCTCCACCTCTTAAAACCCCTCACTCTCTCAGAGACTCAGCTTCTGAAGCCCCACCTTGAACATGACTCTTTTCCTGAAACCTCAGTCTTGAGTGCTCTCCTTCTGTGGCTTACACCAACCATGAATCTTTTATAACATCTACTCTGTAAATATTATTTATTAAAACTGGGGGCAGGCCCCTACTTATAGTTAATTGGCATTTAATAAATGCCGATTAAAGTATATGCAGATGAATAAAAAAATAAATACAAGTCAGTTTAGCTTGGAAGGACCCTGAAGGTTTTTTTTGTTTGTTTTTTTGTTTGTTTGTTTTTTGCTGGGGAGGGGGTGCAGTAGTGGTAGGTGGAATCAGGAAAAGCTTTGTGCAGAAAATGAGTTTGATCTAAAGGATTCTAAGAGGTGGAGGTGAGAAGGGAGTACATGCCAGCCAATGGGGACAGCCAGTGCAGAAGTACAGAAGGGAGAGAAGTGTCATGTGGGAGGGACAGCAGTAAGGCTAGTTTGGCTAGGCTGGTGTGTGAAAAGGAGAACACTGAAGCTATAAAGATAATTTGGAACCTGGTTGTGAAGGGCTTCAAAGGCCAAATAGGGGAGTTTCTGTTTTATCCTAGAGGCAACAGAGAGCCAGTGATATTGATTAAGAAGGGTAGTCACATGGTCAGTCTTCATTTAAGGAAAATCACTGTGGCAGCTGTGGAGTGGGGGAGAGGCTAGAAGCAGGGAGACCAATTAGAAGGCTACTGTAATAGTCCAGTGAGAGATAATAAGGTCTAATGTGGAAACACGATAAACTGTTAATTGACTCAATTATCAAGAAAGCATAACTTTCAATACAAATGAAAAGTTAATTTAAATAGTTTTACAAATTAGGCAAATATTTATGTTGACTTTCATTGCTGCATCTGCAGCATGAATCTACTGGACAACTTGATCTTCAACATTCTGCTTAATTCTAACATAAGGTAAAGTGAGGAAACTTAAATGTGCTTATCCTATTCAACATAATAAAACCAAAAGTAAATAACATAGCAAAGATGCCAACCAACAAGCATTTATTGAATTCGTACTACCCAGTGGGAGAATAAAAAGATAAAAGCGAAACAGTTCCTGCCACAAGGAAGCTTACTCTCTATTGGGGGAAGACAACATGCATATGCATCAGTATCTAAAATATATTAAAAAAATACAAAGTAATTTGGGGAGAAAGGCACTACGAGTTGGGAGAGGGGGTAGTGAGGGTCAGGAATGGCCTCAGGTAGTATTTGAGCTCAACACTGAAGAAAACTTGAGATTTTAAGAAGCAAAGGTAAGAAGGTAGTATATTCTATGCATGGGAATGAGGGACAGCCAGTGCAAAGCCAAGGAGGTGGAGAATGGAATATCATGTTTGATGAACAGCAAGAATGTCAGCTGGACAGGACTAACGATTGCATGAAGAATAAGGCTAGGAAAGCTGGTTGGAGCCAGGTTGTAAAAGGTTTTAAATGTCAGAGAGAGGAGCTTGTACTTGTTTCTAAAGATAATAGTGAAATCAATGAAGTTAGAAGGAGGGGAGTGACTAGGTCAGCCCTCAGCTTTAAGAATAATACTTTGGCAGCTGTGTGGAGCTGACTGGGGAGGGGAGTAAGGAGGCAGGGAGATCAATTAATTAGGAGGCTACTGCAGCAGTCCAAATGAGAGGTGATAAAAGCCTAGAGCTTGGTGTGTAGTGATGGCAGAGGTGGGGGACAGATGGGAGGGTTTTACCAGAGACAGCATCAAGTACCTCTTAGAGATAACATTCCCCAGGATCAAGTACTTCTTGTTATTTTCCCTACCTCCTAACTTTCTTTCTTATCCTTCCACCCCCCATGCTCTATAGGGTCAGTGGTAAGCAAGGATAATGTTTAGCACCAATACGGATAATAAAGAATTCATGGTATCCCAACAGACTATACAATCTTCAGGAAAATTGTGGAGAAGACTGCTGATTTTATAAAAGAGGAAACACCTGATTTATCTGTTTATTAACTACCATGGCACTTGCTTAAGTGTTGTCCCAGTCTGGAACTAGGCTCAAATAAAAATGTGTGTAATGTGTTTTATAAGCTTTCAAAGTACTATATAAATGTCAGCTATTAAGTGGAAATTATGAATTAAGGAGAACTTCATCATCCTGTTAATAGAATAACAAATTTAGAGGTGAGTGGAATTTCAGAAGTAATCTAGTTCAATCCCCTTATTTTATGGATGAGGTAACTAAGGTTGAGAAGTGAAGTAACTTATTCAGGGTCACAAAGTTGCAGAACTTGGAATGTGAATCCAAGACTTTTGAATAGACACCTGGCAAGCTTTTTCCTCTACCACAAAATACTCTATTTCAGAAATATCAGCAACAATATATTAAGACATTTTTCATAAAATTAACAAGCATTTATGAAGTGCTTACTGTGTGACAAGCACTGTCCTAATGATGTTTATTAAATGTTAATAAAGTTTATTAAAAATGAAAGTTTGTCTCCCTGTCTATGTAAAAAGATGAATAAATGCCAGCATTACTTACCCACTGTTGGGGGCAGCTTGACTCAAAAATGCTTCTAAACTTTTTACACTTAGAGGCATCATCGGTATTTTCATCCAAGCACTTCCAGTAGTCATCACGAGCTCCCCAGCAAACTTGCCTCTCTTTCATGGAAGGTGCTGTCATTTTTACTATCATAGGAAAAAAGGACCATTGCTTGAAGGGACTCCCCTCATTTATTAAGGAACTTGTACTATATAAGAAGAGAAGGCAGAAACCTACTGGAATCTTAATGCCCACAAATGATACCAAGGAGCCAGAGTGCACTGAGCTGGCTTTAAGTCCAATTCATAGCTTCACCTTATTAATGTATTAATATTAGTATTAGTGTGTAGTGTATTACTGTGTCCTTCCACGACTCCTTCAGAATCGACTGTTTCCTTCTTTTGTCATCTTTGAATATTTGCTAAATGTAAGGTGAAACCCGAGTTGTTTTGATTTGCATTTCTCTTATTAGTAATTTGGAAGCAATCTTTCATGCATTTGCTAATAGTTAACAGTTCTTTTTTTGAGAATTTCTTGTTCATATCTTTTGTCCATTTATCCATCAGGGAAGACAGTATGAAATTGAACTTGGCTAACTAGGTTATCAAGATTGGGACGGGAGATAAATAAAAGTATTAGGGTGGAAGGATTAGAGATAATAATAAAGGCAAAAGTATAGGTGAAGAGATGAAGCATAGGGAGTTAAAATAAGGGAAGCTATCAACTGGGAAAAATCTTATCCCCTCCCCCATCATCAACTCTGAACAAAATTCAACCAGGGATGGACAAAGAAATACTCCTAAGGAAGGTAACTACAGACTGAAAGGAAAGGTTCCAGGTCCTGAGCTTGTTCCTCAGTCCTTACTGCACCAGGCAAGTAACTGGCTAAGGATGAGGAGGAGAAGGAGGAGGAGGAGGAGGAGGAGGAGGAGGAGGAGGAGGAGGAGGAG